ACTGGTTATTCAACTGTTTTATGACATAAATGTGTAAATGAAAGCTGTTCCATGAGCTCTGTTTTAAAATACTCCATCAACACAGCACCATATGAAAAAAACTTAATATAATTAAACGTATATCAATTACTTGTGGCAGATGAATAATAAACACACACTTATATTTTAATAATTAAATGGAGTTGCTGGAAAATATGTAACGAAGCTACAATAAGAGCTTGATTTTACCATGTTCATTTAAGGTGTCTGACAAATGTGGAAATTTCGTATCAAATACATTACCTGGATATCAAAACAAGTCTGATATACACAAACACAAGTACAGAAACTGACAAAAAATAAATCAAATTAGAAAAAGTATGCAATAACACCATTTACAGTTAGGTGATGGTGCAATGGCTCCACCTGCTGCCAGTTGTTCCACTGCCTGTTTACTGTGCTGAAACTGTAAGCTGGACTGCAGTAACACAGGGCGATGAACATGATACCCCTCAGGTAAACCCCTCACTCTCAGACACCTGTCCACAACTGCCCTCTGGAGAGCGCTCTTATCAAATGGACACTTGGCCACAATGACCGAGCTGAGATACACTGGCCGTTCCAGGAAGTGACTGAGAAGCGCCCCCTGGCAGCCCAAGACATTCCACCTCCCAAGTTTATCACTACAACTCATTGAAATTGTCCTGTCTCCTCTTCCTGGTTTTGTACGTAGGACCCCAGTGATGTGGTAATCATCTCCTGACCCCAGGGTGTCTTGGGCGCCCCCTGGGGCACACTTAGCACCAGTTCTGTAAATATCTTTCTTCAAAGTACTTGATGATGGATCTGTTTCCTGCTCAGAATGTGAAGACCTGTTTGATGTCCCACTGCCAGAAATTTGTTCTAATTGATTAATACCTTTTTCTGACGGGTGAACAGAATTACATTTGGGAGCACCAGCAAGTCCATTTGATGTATTGTTAGAAGATAGCATGTGTTCAAACTCTTGCAAATGATCAGGGTCTGTCTTCATTGTAGACCCATAAAAACAACCCTGGCTTGAGGGTGGGGATGTAGGTTTTCCCGCTTTTAAGCTTGAATGAAATTTTTCTGTCTCTAACTCTTTCTGTTGCAAAATATTAACTTTAGCATTTATGTCTGAACTACTGCAGTTGTTAGGTGACACTTGATCAGAATCATTTCCGCCATCTTTTTGGATATCACAGGCATTTTTTGCACCTGGCAGGTCACTGTCAGGTGCCTCAGTGGTAAGAATCTCATTCTGTCTTTCAGAACTGGCACCTGTGGCAGGTAAATCCTCTGTCCTACCTCTCTTAGCAGGAGGCCCACACACCTCTCCTAAAGAACTGTTTTCACCTGTGCTGCTGCATGCATATGCCATATCAACAGTGGCAAAAGTCAGTTCTGTTTTTTGACAGCTTGTCTTGGGAAATATAGATGCATCGCCACCTATCAACAAGATATCATCCATTACCAATGCTTCAAGCATAACTTGCAAAGGCTATTTACTAACTGTTTAATAAATTTGTTTTTAACACAATCATTAAAAAAAATTCTTCATAAGTCTGTTTTTGTATCATATATTTTGTTGTAATTTCTAAACAAAACATCTGTCTGAACTTTGAAACTTTAATTTCAATAAAAAATACCATTTTGGAAAAATTAATATTAAAATAATCATTCCAATATTAACAATTACCACTTACATGGTGTGTGGCTTGTAATAAGATGAAAATCTACCCCATTCTTGACCCGACAGTGTGTTTTATCTTCTGTCACCTGGAAGACCTTGCTTTCCCTCCCTCTATAGGCAGCAGCCAGTTCATGATACAGGAACTTGAGGAAGGCTCTTCTTGCTACGACCTCAGCATGGCTGTCATTCAATATGTCACCTACAAGAGATATGTCAAGAGATATAATAAGGATGGAATCAAATTTTTACAGGCATGTCTTTGGCTATGCCAAAATGTGAAAATTATGACAAAAGATCCAAACTTAATATTTTATGATAATCAAATTTTACATGACACACGTTCTAGATTTAAACATTTTTCTTGGTTATATACAAATGCCAACACTGTATCTACTAGCATGTTTTTTTTTTGTGTGTGTGTGTGTGTGTGTGTGTGTGTGTGTGTGTGTGTGTGTGTGTGTTGAAGACTTTAAAAACAGAATGAACTGACAATAAGATGCAGAAAAAAAAGAAACATGAAATAAAAATGAAGAAAATAAAGAAATAAAACTGTGAAAATGAATAAAGCTTTATTTCTTACCTTTGCTACTCATCTTCGACTGCCCAATACACTTGGAGCCTGTTCCTAATGACACCAGACTGGCTTCATAAGCACCTGGAAAACAAAGACGTGTACATGTCTTTGAATGATAAGAACTGTCCGAATAACCATACAATGATATGCACAGAAAAATAAATTAAGATAAAGGGAAAACTTTAGCATAATTAAAACAACAGATTAAAATTATTGTGATCATAAAAATTCAATTTCCATTCAATTTCCAAGCATACATCTATACCTACTGGGGGTACGTGCACATGTCTGTACTTGTGCAGCCAGACTATAAAATTTTACTAATACATGTATTGTGACAGACTTTACGAAAGGCCAAAAAATCTGTCAGACATTCGGTCTGACAAGCTTAAAAATTCTGTCAGACCAAAACAAAATCTGTCAGACCGAAGTAAAATAATAGAAATATGAACCATAATTCATGTTTTCATGTGTATTTTCTAACGTTTTAAATCATTGACATTAAATAAATATTAATTTTTTGATATATATTTATTTGTAAAAAAGTAAAATAAGAAAGAAAAAATAGGCAAAAAATTACTTGCATAACAAGTTGTTTTTTATTTAATAAAAAAGACGCTCTGGAATGACACAAGGACTAAAACCAATACAAGTATGAAGAATGTGTAGCTAGTAATATCAAATGTATGTCCATAAAAACGTCTGTTAAGCAGATAACCATTTCGCACGTTGTTTTTGGCAATAACATGTGCATTTTGAAACAGCACAGTAAGGCGGTCTCTTTCATCCATTTGAAGCTTTGGCAGGGACTGTCCAGTCCGAGTCTAAGTTCCTTCTTCATTTTATTTCTTTTTTTTTTAATAAAAAGAAACTCAAACTGTGAGCTTTCATCAAGTTCAATTGCACTTTCTCCAACTCGTGATGAACGGTACATGCAAATACGTACATATGTTCCATAATTTAAGAACCCGTAATAAAGCTGTAACATTTATGTTGCTATTGATCAAAATGATAACTTTAGTACTCCTGACACTCGGCTCACACTATTTTCCTCTCCTACAGATCACAAGTCCGCCAGGGCCTACCTTCTTTCCAATTTATTAAACTTCCATTTCTCTTCTTCACTTCGTTTTCATTTTTGCCACGCTTTGCACCAACTAAGTGTTTAAAGTTCAACAACGTCATTTTTTAAGCAAAAGGCTTATCCATGAGTACTGTGTACGACTGATAATGAAGAAACAGAGGATCAAGTCGGTAAAAACGCAAATAGCACGAGCACATGTGTTGCGGCCATTTTGTTGTGTAGAGGTATTACGAAACGAAAACGAGACTGTACATTACATCATCCAGGAATTCCCCAACCTCAGCCAGTCATAAAATAGTATTTGTGAGTGAAACTGAGGTTAATAAATTATGTATAATTAGCTGGGAACTCCCCGAGATTTTCACCCCGTCTCTCTTTCCGAATGAAGTAAAATATATCGTCCAGAAAAGAAACAACAACGTATTCCTTATATTTACACATTCCCAGTCAGTTTGAAAACTCGCCGGACATAAGGTCCGACAATACAGGATTTTTTATCGGACCGAGACGAAATTTGCCAGGCATGTCCGACGGTCCGACGCCTTTCGTAAAGTCTGTGATGCTCCAGTATAACATCTTTTAATGAGAGAAATAAAAAATAAAGTAGAATATATTCTTTACATTCTTTTCATCACATGTATGATGTTGTATATCATATGGCAGCAGTACCCCACTATGTCGTAGTTTTCCGTTTGTTATGTAACTGAAGTTTACTTTTTTATTAACTCATTTATTACATAACATCCAGCCACATGTGGGCATGTTGGCGAACTGGTAGAGAAGGAACAATGCATTGTGGGAGATATGTTAATTATGTAAATTACCTTACAATATACAACACACTATACACACCGTTTGTCTTGTCTATTGTCATGACAACTGCAGCTAACAATGTCCACTCTCTCCTGGGCACAGGCTTTCCCTTTTTAGGCAGCTTGTTTGCATAGTGGTCAAAGCATTTCTTGGTCAACTTGTCGGCAAATTGAGCATCTTTTTGCCAGTTTCTTTCTTCATGCATCTCTAGATCTATTGAATCAGAACTGTCCTTGCAAGAAGAACTGTAAAAAGAAAACTAATCTTTCATCAATCTGCTTTTTCCAACTGTTGGCTTGCCACTACAGGGGTCATCATTTCACATCATTACTCCCCTCTAATGCCAGTATTATGAACCCAAATTTTGTCTTTTAACATTAGATGGTGTGGTTGCATGGTGCAAAATATAAATGATAACAGCCTAATAATAATAATAAGAAGAAGAAGAAGAAGAAGAATGATATGGGGAAGCTTATCCCACACGTTTCATTTGTAATTTGTTGTTTTAATGGAACAGTTAACGTGCAAATCGTAAAACGAACCGACATCAAACGCAGAGCAACGAAGAACTGCCATAAGTCTAGATAAAACAAAACAGTACCAGTAACTGAGTAAGTGGAACTAAAGTCTAAACGGCCGTCTATTCACTTCTATGTCTTCAGTAAGTTCATAATTTATCGATCTTCAAGAAGTCAAATATTAGTGACATTACATTACATGAAGCTTACGTTTTTAAAGTATGCATCAAATGAATCCATCAAATGAATTTTTTGGACGAAACAGCGGCACATTGTCAATGGAATACCGGAAATAGTAAAAAAATTCCTTCCTTCGATTGCAAAAGAGTCCCTTAGTGTTCTTTAGTTGGCCTTGTACATTTTGCGTTTAAATGAAATGCGTTGTTTCAGGTAAGCTTTGCTTTTATAAAAAGATATTGAATTCACATATGAATTATTTGGTTTGAAATAGTGTGCTGAATTATCATGCCCAGCTTAATCAGTCTTATTCGAAAAGCGCAACGAGTTGGCCTCGGAGTCACGGGACTTGAACTGGAAGTGGACAGATAACAATAATAAACAAATGTTTTATGACTCTAAGTTTATGTCTACTAGAATTATTGTACGAAGGATGTAAGGATTTGTGCCTATGGCGTTGTCTTAAAGGTCTCAAGCAGAATGTAACATGCAATTTAGTACCAGTATATAAAATAGTGAGCATGAATAATTTACTTTAAGTTTAAGTTAACATTTCCAAATTCCTGGGTCAGTAACACTGGTCACTTTTAATAACAGTATTGTGCCAGCTTGCAAAATATTAAGTAACTCAATTTTGACTTTATTGATCAAGGGTATCCAACATGCCATGAAGGTCGCCAGGAAACCTGAATATTTGTAACAATCTTTGAAGTCAGATGTACTGTAGATATTTTAGTCTAAATGATCATCCTTCAGTACCACCTACAGTTTGATCCAACATATGTTTGTCCCTAGGTTCCACTCATTTCTTTCCATCTGTGGTCTTCTTACCCAGCACATATTGTTGAAGATCCTTGATTTTAGCATAAGAGACAGATTTTATGAATGTATGTGTACTGTAGAAGTCCTTTTTCAAAACAAACTTGCCTGTTTAAGACACTGACAGCTATGTTGTGCAGCTTGCTCATAATTGTGATGGCTGCCTTTTTGACCTAAGCATATTCAGTAACTAAAAAGCAAAATAAAACAAAACCCCTTGACTGGGACTAAATTTAATCATTTCTGTATTCGATTATTGCTATAATTTTTTTGACAGTGTTAAAACCATCTATTTGAATTAATATTCACACTTTGATCCCAAGCTTGATAATGAAAAAGTTCTGTTAAAGTCCCATGTGACCTCAAAAGTGTTGATTAAAGCAATGCTTATTTATGGAAGGTGCTAAATGAGAATCAATAATTCACTATGTAATATATCTCTGGGTAGGTAGTAACTCAATTTGCATGGATCAGCTTGGTGGATGCTAAAGGCAGCAGATTGCTAAGGTATTAACAGAGGTTAACATTCTTCATTTAAGGAGGAAAGGAGGAAGTGTGTCTACTGCTATAACTGAGTTGAATTTTTTTGACTTTCTTTTTCTTTTACAACAGAACAGGCCAGAAGCTATGCAGTCCTATGATGAAGATCTCTTTGAGAACAAGTTCTTTGTTAACTTACAGTCGAAATATGCAGAAATCTACAACTTTGCTGCTGACAACAGATATATGGTACAGTACCTCATTCTCTCTCTCTCTAAAATTTTAAAAGGTTTAATAAAATTCACATAGTGTTTATGTTATAAAGTGATATGAAAATTACATTTCTTTTTCTTTTCTTATTTTTCTTTTTACAGATCTGTGTCCCCAGAACAGGTCACAGCTCCTCTAAATATCTTTATACTGAAGAGGACTACAGAAACCATATCCTGATCCCAGTGGATGACACTCCAGGGACGTTCAAGACAGCCAATGATAAGGTATCTAGAGTAAGCTAAAAAGGATAGTATATAACAAATGCCATAAGTAAATTCTAATAATCCTAAAGAAAGTGAAAATACACACATATGCCTGTACACACAAAAAATGTGTCTGTGTGCTTGCATGCATGTGCACACACGTATGGGAACATGCATGCATGCACATACACACCCTCTTGCACACCTACACGCATGCATACACAAACACACACACATATCTTGATCTAGAACTAGAAAAAAAAATGAAAATTTCCAGCACTTACTAGGTATTTCCCAAATCAGTTTTCTCTTCCAATTTAAATTTTCTATACTGTAACCTGTATATGTCTGATAGACTTCATGTTAAATGCCTAAGTACCAGTGATTTCTCAGTTGGTTTATCTGTTCAGGAGGTGACAATCCAGAGTGGGGTCATTACAACAGGTCAAGGGTTCAAGGACGTTAGAAATGTGAGTAATGCATACACTACGTAGGGCAGAATTGATATCCTGCACATCTCTTTCTGTCATATTATATGTATAAAGAGAAGTACTAAGTATATATTGTTTTTACTTTTATCTGAGAATATAAAAAGAGAAAGAATTTTCTCGTGGGTGGAATGTTATTGTTTTATCTATGGTAAACAAAAAATTGTTAAGCTAGAAATGTTTGCATATCAGATACAACATGAGATGGTTCAATATAGAGGTATTCATTCTAGGGCTGAAATTCTATTAACATTTATAACAGAGTCCTCTTTTTTTTCTAAATGCTGAGTTTTCTGCAAAAATTGCTGTTAGAAGTATACTGCCTAAAATGTTGAGTATGCCCCAAAGTTGTGAACAATCTACTGTCAGTGCCTCAGTGAAAATGTCAGTAAATTCATTTATGATTGTTATTTTTCATTTGCAGTAAGTTTTGTTAATTGTTTGTTATTTTTAGGCCCATATTTTGTTTGAAGAAACCTACTTCAATGATCATGATGAGAGTTTCAGGGTGCTGTGCATAGATATAGCCTTAGAGGGAGGGAACGGTAAGAATACTGTAGTACAAGTTATCTTTAAGCACAGAAAACAATTGGAAATTATTTTTAGGCACAGAGGTCTGCAAATTAAACATGTTGTTCAGCAAAATGTACTAATATTGTTAGCAAGGTGTAGGAAAGGTTATTTGATTTTTTTCTTTTTTTACTCCTTTTTTTCTTTCTTTCTTCTTATTATTTTATTTTTTTGTTTTAATTAAAATTATACAGTTGTTAGACAAACTCAATGATAGGCTGACCTTACTCTAAATAAATTAGTCTCCTGAAGATCAGTCTATACTTTTTGGGATACTGTAAAGAGTATTAAGTAATGTATAAGAAATTAAATTATGAAACTTAATGGACCAGCTTATATCTGTTCAGTAGTTATGATATCTAGTTGCTTAATATTTAATTTCAGCCAAACCAAAGGGAACAAATTCGAAATTTGGTGAGATTTGCTTTCTGGAAAAGAAAACAGCATATGCAATAACTTGTATCGTGCAGAAGCAACGTATACTACTGTATTATGCAGGAGTATAATTAGCAACAGCTAATTTAGCCGTTATTAATTTTATTATCCTCTTTCAAGAAGAAAGCCCTCATCCATATTGATCTGTTGCACATGTCCTCTGCTATTTCTCTGAATATCTTATTTCCATACACCGTCTCAATTCTATCAGGTTAAGGCACAGCATAGAAAACCACCTTGAATTTTGAAAGATGTGGAGAGGATTATATATGAAAAAACAAATAGTAGACACTGTTGAATTCTTAAAACTATCAAAAAATGCAATTTACTTTTTTTTATCCCCCTCTCCCACCCTGAGCTTCAGAGATAACTTGAAACTTACTTGTACACTTTACCATACTAGTAACTTGAAATGGCAAGGGTATGGTATAGTGTAGGGGTAAATTTCAAGTTATCTCTGAAGCACAGGGTGCCCTCCCCCAGACCCGAAAACAGATTATAAAAACATGTTAAATATTTGAATAGCTACAGTTTTATTCTATCAGTTTAAGTATTTATGAACATTAATTTGATTTCCAGACAATATTAAAAAGTAGATGTCTGTCACTGTGACGCTAACCCTTGAAGGCCATTGTAACCTGTTTCCAACCTCTTTCCTAAATCCTATACTCCAATACCATTATTTTTCACCCAAAAGTATGAATAAGGGATGATTTTGCATTTCTGCCAAGGACAAGTGTTTCAAACTCTGTGTAATACCTTGGACCAGTCATTATACATTAACCATGGGTCTAAGCTAATACACGCAGGAACAGGCATAAAAAAACAACATAATTATGTATACATATTTTTTAAGCACTTTCACATACTTGCTTATAAAAGATATAATCTCCACATGTTAAGATTGGCATTTCTTTCTTCCTTTACTTTTCACAGGAACAGGTGTGATAGGAAAATTTGTATTACTTTACTTTTTAGTTGTCAGTGGTTTTAAAAGGAGGCCATTTTGTCTTCAAAGTATAAATAATTAATTTATATGTACACTCTGAACTAGTCTATTTATTTTCAATAACTTATTGCTTAAGGGCTGGGACTTGCCTCTTTGTTAATTATTCTAGACTTGCATTCTTCAGGTGAGGTTTGAATTTATTTTTCACAGTTAAGTTATTTACAAATACCGGTATGTTCTGACTGCTGCATGATGTAGGCAAAAATAACACTGTTAACCTTATATATGTCTGTAAGAAAAAGGCCTTGTAGTGATCCATATAAATTATGTAATTGTTTTTGTCAGGTTAAGTTGACATGCATTAATATGTATCAATATTTATGAATTGAAATTTAAAAAGTAAAAAATTCCATGAGCAACTGAATGAAAATATTTTTCTTTTATTACAATAAATGTTTTTTATTTAACAATATTTCTGTTCTATAAATTTTTTATAATCTTCAATGTGAACCATCAAGTGCTCTAACTGTACTGTTACACACACCATGAAAATATAGACTAGGCTAGTGCAAACAAAAAATAATAAAATGAAATAAAAAGATTCCTTTATATCTCAGGAGAGTCAGTGCCAGATGTCCCTGTGGTGGTTCTCCAGACATTTGAAGACTGCCTAGAGCTGCTATGGGGCCACGCAGGTCAGGATTTGAACAGAGAACCAATTGAGGGATTTGATCCCATGACATTCTTTATTTGTTTAAAATAGTTACATGTTCTCCATTTCAACATTCTTTCATTTTGAAACTTAGCTTTAAGTTGGTGATTTTATTAAAGAAAACAATAAATGTTCATCTACCAGTATCTTTATGAGTTGCTTTTAAAGTTACTCTTAGACTAAGTAATTGTTATCATGATGATTGCATGCACTGGAATTAGGAGTAATTAAATAAAAGTGTAGATGATATGTTGTAAATACTGGATGTTAAAAGAAATTAATTTGGTTTTATTATTTTAGCCAACAACAAGACCCAGAAGCAGTTGGACCATATTATCCAGTTGTTCAATGAATCCTATGACAGGCTAGATGGGAAATCCTTAGTCCACTATGTGGTAGGTGTGGCCCCCACTTTCTTTCAGTCTTGGAATATTAAACTGAAATGAAATCGGCCTTGTTAAAATGGTGTGAAGTGGGGATATAGTGAACACACATTTACCTTTAAATAACATGGACTTACTTGAAAGGATATGTATGTACAAGTCACATGTTTACAGGCATGCAGGTGTGTACACTGGCATGCACACTCACGCATGCATGCATGCACGCACACACACACACACACAGAGAGAGAGAGAGAGATATCAAAGTGATAGAATTATAACACTGTATATTGCAGGATGCTGCCAATGCCCTGTTCACCAGAGCTATGCAGACAGTTCTAAAGGACAACCACTTGGTAAGTTTGCTTGTGTCAGATCACAGATTTGAGCATTCTAGCTCTCCAACTCGTTTTCATCTAAGTTACAAGTTTTACAGTAATCCGGCAATTGACCATGTTATTATACCATTTTTAGGTAAAAAGAATCATAATGCCATCTTTATCTCCTTTCCTTTTTTCATGGGAGTAACCTTTGTCTGGTTGCATCTTTTAGGGTCAATTTCTATCCAGAAATCCTATTGTTTAAATGTGTAATTCTTCATAGGTTCAGAAAACTGACAAATATATATTTTATAAACAGTAAACAGGTTCTCTTTTGGAATGACATTGTTAATGTCTATGTGGTTTCTACACATTTCAGAAAAGAAGTGCCAGACATAACAAGGCCTATCTTGACTGTATCAAGGTAGCAGTAGAGGTATGTTGAAAAACTGGTCATAGAAATTATAATAGAAATATAATGTTTGATGATCAAAAATTACAATTGCTGTACAATTGCTGATCCAATTTTAAAAACACAAAATTAGATATAAAGGTCTTCTGAAAATATGAAGAAAAATAAGTATATAGGTATTGTATTTATGCACCTGGACATTAATCTGTTCTTATAATAATTTAATTTCCTTTTCTTTCAGACAAAGTTAATCTCTAACATTGCCAGTTCAACTTCCAGATTTTTATTTTCCACTAACAGTTTAAAGAATTTAAAGTTGCCTAAATGTTTACACATTAAGTTTGGATAGTTATTTTGTCACGAGACCAATGATACAGATCTCACTCACATTTCCCCCCTGTTTGTTTCCAGACCTATGTGATGCATGGGATCTACAAGAAGATCTTCAAGGGGATATCTGTGTGCAGGGCCTCTGAGGACGCCAAGCTCAACAAGATCAACAGGAACCTGGCCGAGCTGCAGCTGAGGGACCTGGGAGTACGGGCAGAGTTTCGGTAGGGTACTGTCATTGTCAAATGGGAAAGAATAAGCTAATTTTGTAAATAGCATTATCTTGGAAGTTGTAATTATAGTAGCATTTATCATAATAGTCCACATGGTACATGCAATTACTAGTAGTTAATAAAAATACATTTAGTTATGTTACATGAAATAGTAAAGGTGATGTACGGGTATTGATTAATATCAGCTTTATAGTTTCAAAGTGCAAACTTTTATGATACATAAACTCCTCAGTATTTGTATATTTTGATGATTTTTGGTAATGAAATATATGTAATAAGATAATAAATGATAAGAATTTTTCTTTGGTGGTGCATGGTGAAAGAAATTAGACAGTCATTGTGTTGTTGTTCCAGTGAAAACATTCCAAAAGCCAAGAAGGAGCTGCAGACATTGAACAGGTACAGCACCCCTCTTGGCAAACTGAACTGTATCAAGAAGGTGGTCACCATATTGATGCAGCCTCCCAGGAGATGGCATACAAAACAGACACAGGGTAAGCTTATGGGTGGTTATTGATATGCAGGGTGGTCCATAAAAAAAGACCTATTTTGAATGGAGATGAAAAGAATAACCTAAGATTACATAGAGGTTGCTTTCCAATCTTTGTGGTTGAGAGTGTGTGTGTGTGCATACGTGCGTGTGTGCGTGCGCGTGCATTAAATAACATAAATGACCAATAGACTTTATACTAACAACTATTAAAAAGAAAAATATTATAGTTTGCTGCAAACATTATGTGAAAAAAGTATTCTCCAGTTTTGTCAATTCTAATTTGGCACTCATCAGTATGTGTTTTTACTATGGTGTTATACTTGAAGTTAACATGAAAGTTAATGTCCATTATTGACCTTCCAGAAGAACAGTCTGCCCTACTGACCACAGATGACCTCTTGCCTATACTGGTCTTCTTGGTGGTCAAGTCCGAGATTCCTAACTGGTACATCTGCTCTTTATATTCCTTTATTTGATAATAAGTAATAATGTGTTCAGCTGAAATATATAAAATGAGAATTAGAAATTGCTTTCTGTCATGAGCTTTTACCATCTTAGATCAGAGCATTTTAAAGATGTAAATATGGTAAATCACTTATGTGCATGAATTATGAATTTGAATTAAATGTTGAAACTGCAAATGGGACTGAACTCCTTTAAAGATAAATATAATGGAAGAGCAAACGAAATGTTTGACATTTATTTGGATGGAAATAGAGTTCTGTAAAAAGAAATAAAACTAATTTGACAGGCTTTCTTTCATAACTATTTTCAATATTCTCAATTATTTTAATTTTCAGGTTTGCTCACCTTACTTATATGCTGAAATTTAGGTTTTCAAAAGCAAATAATGATGATGAATATGGGTAAGTTTTCTTAATTACAGTATCTCTCCACCAGTCAGCAATGTTTCCTGCCCATTCTTTTAGTTTATGACAAGTAATTTTCAATTTAAACTTTCAGACTGACTGTTGCTGGTCAATCTGAACTGGCAATGTTCAAATTACTGGCATTACTTCCAAAATATTTGCCAAGTCTGGGCTAAATAAATATCCTTGCACTGCATGTATTCCAGCTATACTAACAGTAATGTGAATAATTTGATATCCTTCCAGTTTCTATGCAGCTTCCACAGAGGCTGCTATAGAGCATGTGTACAGTGGCTCCCTCAGTAGCCTGCAGCTGGGGACAGCCAATCCTCAAGTAGGTATTTACAGTCAGTAACATAAAGTATATACTAAAGATAAAGTATCTAAAGCGCCTGGGATTTTTTTATGGTTATGTATGAATAATGAAAATTACTAAAGTAAAGCTCTCTTCTTCAATGTTTTACATCAAATTCCAGAGGAAAACCTTCCATTAAAATTGTAACAGTTGCAGGTTGATTGCATCCTTCATTGCAGGGGTTGATATTCATCTCTCTTGCTAGGTACCAGCAGCTGTGTTAAGATTTTCTCTTTTAAAGCTTTTAAATGAGAGATAGGAGCAGGTCCAGTTGGGCATTTATTTCAAGGAAAATTGTTGTTTTTCAGCCATTGGTTTTAGCCAGAAGTCAGTTACAGGGTGGCAGTGGTTGTTCCTCTGCTGACAGTGCAGATTCCATGATAGGAAAGCTATTTCAGGTGGGCTAAGGCTAAGTCCTGTTTTCAGTAAATTTTTGTCTATGAGACATTGTTGATAAAATGTAAGCCAGGAAGAAGAAATTAAGACTGAAAATGATAAACCCATTGAACACATTCCATTATTGAACACTAATAGAACAACATCTGCAGGGGTGGATTTAGGCCGTCTTCTGGGTCTTCCGGAAGACGGTCAGATTTTAAAGTTTATATTGACGGGTATCCATTATTTTCTGTTGGAAGATGGTCAAAAATTGAAAACATATTAACAAAGATAATTTGGAAGACTGTCAGAAAATATCTCTGGATCCGCCCCTGATCTGCATGTAGATGCTATGTTTAAAGATTTAAGTTGACTGCTTACTCAGTCTTATGTTATTTATGTTGCCTTCAGTGATTTTTATCAATCTTCATAGAATTCATAATGTTCAATTTTTGTTATCTGCTTATGAAATTATTCATTCACAAAAACGATTTGATTCCAGTATGTGAGAGATGGAAAGACACAGGAGGTGGAGAAGATGTTGAACAAGAAGGAGGTCCTGTTAGAGGAGGCCAAGCAGCAGATGTGTCACCCTCTCTGCTCATGTGACAGGTGTGAGCAGGTGCTGGCCAGGAGCAGGAATGACGCCTCTGCTGTCACAGCTTATTCCAGAGATGACAGGGGATTCACAGGTACTTCTAGTTAACTGACACACTCATTTTCTTGTCAAAAATGATTTTAGTCTTGATGGCTGCTTTAAAGGATATAAATTGATACTTGGCTCAAGATGAAGTGATTCAGCTGTTGACCTAGGTAAGTTTGACATAAGTTTCATAGGTACATGTATACAATGTTATGCATTAAAATGCCCTTTATTGATGAGTAAGAGTTATGGGTCTATAGACAGTACAATTTGTTACAATATGAGTTTACTGCCCCTCCCTCCTCTATACATACTCTTACTCATATGATTGAACACTGTTCACATAACCACGACCTCTGACCACAGGTTCATGTGACTTCGCACACTGACAGTACACTAATGATGATTGATACCACAGGTGTACAGTGCTAGTTATCACTAACACCAGGGGGCTGCAGTCATCATGCTTGTCCCCTGGTAGTAAATATGTGTATATTTATGTATGGAGTAAGATGAAGTTAAGATTTTGACTATTTCATGGCCTTGGCCTTTTCATGATCTTGACCTTTCCCCTTTAGCTCTCCATGTGTCTGCCCTGTGTGGAAATGTCCATGTGATGAATGTTCTGATACACAGGGGAGGTGTGGTCAACGCCACAGACTACCATGGTTCTACCCCACTTCATATAGCTTGTCAGCGTGGACATCAGAAAGTTGTGGTAAGTTGGTCAATGGAAATCTATATTACATTTGGACAGACTAGGTAGTATTGGGTAGAAAATAAGATGCTCATTACTTTGACTCATTTATCAGGCCAATAGGAAAAATTTGGAATTTTTGCAAGCTTTTACCACTGCATTTCACAAGTTGAATTCTGAGAGTTTATGTGATAGTGGTTCACATTAATTACCCTGTGTGTTGGAACAACTTATATATAGTATTGTGTATTTTAAAAAAATTGTTGGTAATAAAAATCTGATATTTAGAGTTACGAAGCAATATTCCCCATATTGTCTTTATCTCATCCAACATAGCTGGTGGTATGTGGTTAGGAGACAACCCCAACCTCTCTGACCTTAAAAGTATGAAACTATATACTCATAGTTGTTGTATTGATTGCAAAATAGACTTATATAAATGTCACAGTAATGTATTATCTATATTTTATTAACAGTTATTACTGCTGGATCAGGGAGCCAACTTTAATGCTGCTGACAATGACGGCAACACTCCTCTCCATCTTTGTGCTGCTAATGGACACGAAGAGGTTGATAATATTTTTATTTGTCCTTTTTTGACTTATCGCCATGTAGTTAATCTGTTTGTTTTTAAAGATTATTAGATATATTAGTTTGTATATTTCAATTAATTTGATTATGCTTCTAGTTAATCTTACATAGCCAAGGTTTATAGAGAGGATTTTACAAGTCCAGCATTAGGATTAAATGATTTGAAATGGTATTGAAAGAAATATCTGTATGGCTTGTTGAAATCATTAAAATTATGAACTAAGATTGATCAAGGGGCATGTTTGCGTTAACCCAGATTTCACTTTAACTAATTGCTGTAATTTTTTATCTCTTTGCACAATTTATCTTAAAGTTTCTAAATGTTTGTTTGTTTGTTTTTAGTGTGTGAAGGCAGTCATTTTCATGGGTCGAAGTAAAGGCCTGGATCTGAATGCTGGGAATGACTGGGGAGAGACGCCATTACATCTGGCTTCCAAGTGGGGTTATGGTAAGTAGTTTAACAAGTCACCAGTCTGCACCAAAAACACATTTTTAGCTTACTGCCCCTTTTGGGCTTAAGCAGAAATGGTGATTGTGGCTAGTAACTCGTTACTGAACATATTTGCAAAATGTTTACGAGCCAGGTTTCCATTTTGCTGATATTTGATGTGGGGCTAGTGCTTATACTCAGACTTAGTAATGTACTTTAAATAAAAAATAATGGTGTACATGTGCATATGTTTACAATTAAGGGTATTTTAGTATATTTGATACCTGATAAGATTTTATATCTTTTAGAACTTGATTGCAAATCTCTGGGAATGATGCATTTTTGAAATATGTTACCATTTAACCAAATCTCATTAAATTTGCTTCAGTGGAAAGCAATTGCCAGAGAAAAGGAGGACTTATAGTGTTTACAAGAAGTATCTCCAATCTCTCACTTAAAAGGAAGATAGATAGTCATAAACAATGATATCTTGATATTTACTTATAACATTCTAAAAATATAAAACATTTTTTCCCAGAGGGCATAGTGAAGATTTTACTGGAAAATGAGGCGTTGCCCACCGTGACCAATCGTAAACACCTCAGCCCGTTGCAGTGCTCTTCTAATGTGCGCGTGTCCCAGATGCTCTCAGAAGCCATAGAGGAAAACACTTCCATGCGAACTTTTGAGACTGTTGATACCATGCTAGAGTCTATAGAATCAGTCAGTGATATGGTATGTAATGTCTGGTTGTTTTCATATTAATTAATTAATTAATTTTTTTTTCAATTTTTTAAAATCAAGTTTATGTTGATATATATTTATTATTGATTGATTATTTAAAAGTAATTTGAAAGATGCTAATTGGTTGAATACCAGTATTATAACCCTGTTCTAAATTTAAAAAATACAACTTTTTGTATCAAAACAAATGGTAAAATCAAACTACTTCTTGAAAAGCACTTTGCTCTTGCAGTCTTAGGTATTTTTTTTGCAAGAATGTGCTTAGATAAGATGCCCAAAATCTGGCACATCATTTCCATGAATAAAGATGTCCCAAATTTAAGCCGTCTTGGATCTTGGACACCTTTACTCAATGATGTTCACTCATTTATAGGATTCCCTGGGACCAAGAAAGCACAGCTTCAAGAAGCAGTTTGAGTCTGGCCCAGGACTTAGCAGACATTTTAACAGCCAGGAACCCAGTCTGCCCATCAAGGTGGTCAGCCAGTCCCTGGTGGACAAGAAAGATTATAAGAAAATTGATAAATTGTTGAAAACGGTTGCCAGGAATGACATTGAGATGGTACGCTGTTTTTTGTCTGTAATAACTGGAGAGAATTTTTGTGACAATACACATTTTTTCGCTCAGTTAAAGTTATTATTTTATATCACATAATCATGCAGATACTGCTGTTTCTGTTATTTTTTACTTGAACAGGCAGTTTAAATTTGTAATTGTAATTTTTACCATTGGAGCAGGGTCATGTTGCCTTAGTCAAAGCTGTCTCTGGAACATTACATGTGTTTCTTGTTAAAGAGATAATTTGCATACATTGTAAAGAATAAAAAAATTATATTCTCTTACTGAACACCCTTGTACTGATGGTATGAGCTTCCAACATTTGTTATATTTTTAAGGTTTATATATTGATGAAGTTTTGGGGATACCATCTGTGTGAATCTCCTGTCTGAGAATTAATTTTCATTCTTTATTTGACTGAAACTGAATGGATCAGTTTGTTCACATTGCAGTAATCCAGTCTTCTATTTTCCAAGGTTAAGTTTATACTGGGATGGACAGATGACCTGGAAGAAGAAATGGACATTGATATGACCAAGAGAACTTTGTGCCATCCTCTCTGTCAGTGTGACAAGTGTATGCCAGTTCAGATGGTAAGGTTCAAGCTGACAAGCTCACTTATTTTGAATTTAACTCCTTAAAAATCATATTTTATAATGTTTTCTGAATATGTGCTATTTCTTTTGCCAATAGCATTGCTGCACTGAAAAATAAAGATCCCGAAAAAAATTCTCATATGATTCTTTTAACTGTATGTTGACATGCAAAACAGAACAAAATGACAGTTTGCTGGCATTTACTGTCTGAAACTCTCTAATTATCTTATTACCCATGCACAAGACATATTGAAGACATATTGAAACAAGAGTCCACCATTGAGTAGAAATTATATCCTCTGAGATGTTAACAGAGTCTAAAGAGACTTCAACAAGGTTCTGTATTCAAACAAATTTTGCTGGCATTATTTTTTGGTTTGCTAGACATAGAGCACATTGCACTCTTTCTGAAACAGTACAAAAATCTAAACATTTATTTCATTAATTTAGATTTCTATGTTTAATATATTTCAATATATTTTAGCAGAAATTTCCAATTTAACAATCAAAATCATTTTATGTCTTTTCTTTCTCATCTCTCAGCTCACAACACCAAGGACAGACGTGACTGTGAACATGAGTAATGTGGATGGTTATGCGCCATTGCATGTTGCCTCTCGTTACGGGTTCAAGGATCTGATTATGCTGTTCATAAAACGAGGTGCCAACGTGAACGCACGGAGCAAGGTGTCTCAGTGGACGCCATTGCACCTAGCTTGCCAGTATGACCAGGCTGAGGTTGGTGAACTTGTCAAAAATTCAATCATTCTGATGGTCATAAATGTGGATAAACCTTATTCATTTATTTTGTACTTTATAAGTCATTAGTGTCAGTTTAGTGTGTGAAATTCAGTGGCAAGTAATACCATCACAGTTTTAAGATACTGAATTGAAATTGAAATTCAGCTTGTGGTTTATTTTTCTCCTGCAGGCTGTAGAACTCCTCCTGGATCATGGGGCTAAAATTAATGCCAAGAATGTCAATGGAGTGACCCCGCTCCATATGTGCTGTTTCCAGGGTAACCCCAGGGCTGCCTCAGTGCTGCTACAGGTAAATAGTTTAGGGACAAATTAAACTATATTTTCTGTCTGGGGAAAACATTTTATAATGTTTTTTGTTTTGCTAAGGAAAATGTTAAATAGAGTAGAGTCAAGCTATATTTGTAGTGTTATGGCTTGGTGTATCAAATGACTTTAATGTTATTGTTGTTATATCAAAGTGCCTCTGTTGACCTTACTTTTATTGTAGTGTTAAAGCATGATGCCTCTGTTGACCTTGCTGTTATTGTAAGGTTAAAGCGTGGTGCCTCAGTTGACCTTGCTGTTATTGTAATTTTAAAGCTTGGTGCCTCTGTTGACCTTGCTGTTATCATAGTTTTACAGCATGTTTCTTTAGTTGACTTTGGTGTTGTGATTTTATAGCTTGGTTCCTCATTTGACCTTGACGTTATTGTTGTTTTACAGCATGTTTCTTCTTGTTGACCTCTGTGTTATATTTTTATAGCATGGTGCCTCAGTTGATTTCACTGTTATTGTTGTGTTATAGCATGGTGCCTCACTTGACCTCACTGTTATTGTTGTGTTATAGCATGGTGCCTCAGCTGATTTCACTGTTATTGTTGTGTTATAGCATGGTGCCTCAGTTAATTTCACTGTTATTGTTGTGTTATAGCATGGCGCCTCAGTTAATTTCACTGTTATTGTTGTGTTATAGCAAGGTGCCTCAGTTGATTTCACTGTTATTGTTGTGTTAAAGCATGGTGCCTCAGTTAATTTCACTGTTATTGTTGTTTTATAGCATGGTGCCTCAGTTGACCTTACAGACCACCAGGGGAACACGCCACTACACACGGCTGCCAAGAGGAATGACCTGAACCTGGTCCAACTGCTGCTGATCCACGGCTCCTCCGTCAGGGCCAAGAACAACAAGAAGATCTCTCCCATACAGTTAGCCAAGGTAAAGTAATAGGCAGGAACACAGGCTGATGCCCATTTGCTATACTGTTAGATTTACTGATTGATCCAGATTGGATATGTTAAAGTCAAAGGGTTTCACATACATCATTACCATTTGTCATGAATTATTTTTGAAACATTTGGCCCAAAATGTAAATATTCATCACACAGCTGTATCCTGTTACAAGTGGCCATATATCATTAGTGCCAAGTATTTCATTATTTGAAAAGTTTCAAAAATGGTTAATGTAGAAAAGTGGCTTCAGTAGCCAAGACGAGCACTACTGGTACATTGATTTGGGAACAGTTCAGTACAGCTGAATCAAACTTTTGAATGTAGTTGGCTGAATGTGTTTTGTGTGAGATTTCCATTGTTTTGATCTGTCTTCCAGCATGACAAGGTGATTATGTTGCTGGATGAAGCTTATAGCAAGGTGCCAGACCTCCCTCAAGAGGACGTCCAACCTAGTCCTGAGAAAGAAAAGAGGAGGCCTCATGGTCAGAGTACAGTGAGAGGTGCATATCTGGCATATCTCATTGATTTTATTACACTTTTATTTTTATTCCAAACCATTATAACTAATTTACAGTATTATAACATACATATTTTAAAAAATGCTTTCTACGACTACCAAAGCTAATTATCTGTATTGTATTAGAGAGAGTTAAAGTACGAAATGTTGTGGTAAGCCTCTAAACAATATGCTCATTATGGCCTCCACCCCACAATTTCAAAAAAACATCAAATCACAAAGAAAAATCCATCAATGACAATGTTGACGAAAGGTGTTGCATTAAATCTTATGTTACCTGAAAAATGTAATGAACTTTCTGTTTATTTGTATTTTTATTTTCTCTTTTGTTCCAGCTGCTGTAAATAAAAAATCAAGCATGCATGATCTTTTTTCTGCATTCGAAGAACAGGACTTAAAACGCCTTCAAAATCTCGTGGGATCCATTCGTACCTTCAATCCTAGGGCCAGTCTCAGACACACCGTCACATTGGACAAAAGCCTTCCACGATTCGACAAACACCTTACCCAGCAACTGGAAATTCAGCACTTTGATATCGGCAGGTTAAAACACGTGGAGACTCGAGATAAAAGCAAGCCAGTGATACAGGCTGAATTTGAAGATAAGTTAACTGGAGATGTTGAGCTTGGTTTAGGTGTGAGTGATGAATGCAAAGACCGGGTGAGGAAAGATTATGAATTAGACGACATGACAAAAAGTCAGGGTGTAGACAATTTGAGTGGCAGCTTGGCTCAGTCCAGTTTGACTTTTGATGACATTTCTGTTAGCAGTCCACTTGTTGAGGGTACAAGGATGAGGGAGCAAAATGCTCAACTTAGAGAGTCTTTTTCTTCATGGGATGATGTTGAGGAAGAGGCTAATTCTTATCCTGGACTACGGACTAATGGGAATGATGGTTCATTAAATTGCTCACATGGAGGACAAGTGGAACAAAGCCAGCAAATAAGTCAAGAGGATGGGGGACAGGATGGGCTATCTGCATCCAGTTTAGATACCCATGGCAACAAGCCAGATCACCATGACAACAAGTCAGATCACTATGACAACAATCCGAAGTGCCATGACAACTGTTTGGACCTCCTTGAATCAGAGTGCCATGAAAATTATTTAGTCTACCAAACAACTATTTCTGATCATGAAAATGATTCTGTTCACCTTGACAACAAGACTGATCACCTTGACAACAAGACTGATCATCTTGACAACAAGGTTAATTCCTCCAGCAACGTACTGGAGAGCATTGATTACCAGACAAGTGAATGTAATAAGAGACAGGATGCAGTAAACTGTGAACAAGTAAATCCAGCCAGCCTTGATCATATGAAACGAGAAAACTCTGACATCAAAGAAAATGTGCAATCAGATGATTTAATAAAACAAGACAGTGGCCTTTGTTCAAATCCTGCTGAACTTCAAACTCCCTCCATTTACTGATACTTAAATTATGATGGTGAAGATTTAATCACATTAATCACAAACATTTCTCCATGTTGTGAATTGTGAAGTTTTTTTTTTTTTTTTTGTATCATGGAAAAATCAAATTGTAATTTTTTTGCATTTCAGTCTTTTTTTTTTTTTTTATTAACCAAAAATTACTTAAAATAGCATTGATTTGTCTTGTTGCACCCTGATAAAGATTGAACATATGTGCAATATTAGAATCAATAATTCGACTTGTTTGATAGCTCTGTTTACTTAATGTGTCTCAACTCCAGTTTATACTTCCGTCAGCGAAGGATGTTATATTTTTATCAACATTGCATTGTTAGTGGACAAGGTAGCTCAAAAATGTATTTACTTTTTTGTTGGAATATTCAGGATAGAGATAAGTGATAACAGTTTCATCCAAATCTTGGTCTATAAATGTTTTTAAAAGATTTTATATTGCTCTTTCTCATGGCAGAAGTCTGCTGTCTAACTAAAGTTGATAATATATCATTTTTCTATATGTTAATGTGTGAGTTGCACAATATCATTATGAGGGATAACATATTAATCCGTTTTAATTGCTTAAAGAGCAATATTCTGTTTGGTATTATTTTTTAATGTGACAACGGGTGAAAAGTGATTCTGAGATTTTTGTTTGAATATATGCATCAAAATCCTTTCCAAACTAACCTTGAGAAATTATCAGCTGTTACAGGTTCAATAAAGAGGTTCAAATGGGACTAAACATTCCAGTTACTATATTCTGTTGGGATGTTTATGTAATTTGTTTCCTTATGAAATATAACACGAACGCTTGGAACTCGTTAGTTTCTCACGGAATATTGGGGTTTCCTCGACCCAACAACCAGTCCTGTTTTGCACAGTGAAGAATGTTTTGTCTCGCCAGATAATTAGCAGTGTTTTGTTTGAATAGATAACAATAAACTGGCGAAAGGTGTGCCTTCTAACTTTTAACACACGTTGCCTTCAAAACCAAAATGCGCAGCATTGTGATAAAAATAAGCGAAAAAATGTTTAAATAAATACCATGAATGCTGAATAACTTTTTGAATTCGTGTTTGGGCATGTGTGGATCCAAAAATGGGACGGTCGCGGCTAAAATAACAGTGGAAGAAAAAGTTCATCTTCATTCCCTCCTTCAACCCAAACTATTAAAGCGTCCTTAAAACCCCCTTTACACTGGACGGCGTTCTTTCTGCCTCCTCTGTGTGATCATGAAACTGGCATTGCTGTGGTCGTAGAAAGGAGGCACAAGCATCGCTTTGGGTGCAGAATCAGAATGAGAATGAATGCTCAATGATCGGCCAGTTGTCGGCACGTAAGTATTTATTTATTTTACTCTCAAACGGGGCCGTACCAGGGGACGCAGAAAGGACGCCGTCCAGCGTAAAGGGGGTTTTACACTGGACGGGGTCCTCTCTGCGTCCCGTAGTACGGCCCCGTTACTTGACGTGTCGGCAACTGGTCGATCATTGAGCATTCATTCTGCAACCAAAGCAAAGACAGCGACTTTGGCTAGGAATCTGGTTTCATCTTGGCAGTTAAACGAAATCTGTTCTTGCCTTAAAGTGATCAAAACGGTATTCACTAGCATTTATGTATTTATGTTTACAATCCATTCAGATTATTGAGGTGAAAATGCGATAGAGAGTTGGTCATAAAGAACTGGACAGTCTTCGACAACACGAAAATAGTGTATTTCCTTGTAATTTTTCGCGCCGAATTTGTTCCTTCCGAACTAATTAGGTAAAAGTTGACGGAAAATGACACCAGAAAATGACATGTACATCTACGGTATATTACGTAAAATCAATTGATTGAGTCAACAGTACTGCAAATTTTCTTTGTTGCCGTGGGAAAACTGAAACAAAGGCAGCAGTGTGATTCCATTATGTCTCTAACATAGTATTTACTAAAATATTGCATCATTTGATGTTTACACAATTATCTTACAATGTCGGATCAGGGGAAAGGGAGGGAGGGGGGTCAGGCATGCGCCCTCTAGTTTCGGAAGTATCTCCACTCTTTGTTAATAAGAAAAAATATACCAGTCGAAAATACACAAGAATTTGCATTTGTACAAAAAATGCTATTGTATATTTGCCTAGCTTCGCTCGATCGGCAAAATTTTCTTCTTGAAGCAAAATTCTGGGTCGCCAGTGACTTTTGCTGCTAAACCGAGACAGTATATAATCGCTCTTGGGTATGAAGTATAATGTTGTCCACATCAATGTATCAACGTCCCTATTATTGTGCTCATGTATACGAAGAATCAATAAAATCGGTACCGGCGTTCGCCATCAAATCGAAGTCCGGCAATCGGACGTCAGTCTATATAACTTGAATTGACTTTTATCAACAATTATGTAATTGCTGAGACGCCGGGGCAGTCGTCTAGACTGGAAACTGAAAATCTCTCTGATAGATTATTGATCTGCAGAGTTTATAAACGATTTTTGGCGAAATTGGACATTTTAGTTAATTTTTTCTAATGGGTAAGATATGTATTTACATTTTTACAGTTGAAAAAAGCAAGAGTTGTAATAAGAGTAATAAGAATGATAAAAATATGGATTGTTCAGATTTTTAAAGAAATAGAAACAGCAAGCTCATTTCATTCTTCGGATGACAATCATCTACGCGCCCGTGCTGTTGAAACTCTGTGGCTCGTGAAGGTAAGCACACACCTTCTACGTCACAGCTGTCGATATCGGTATTTTCCCCGAGAAAATGTAACACTTCACAGTACAATCGCTCACGCAAGATGGCTTAAACAGCTGCTTTAGTTTCACGAGTACAGATACAGCTTTTGGCATATCAATGACAGATATAATGATTATCATTCCCCAAAGATGTCCGTTTATTCGTTCTACATCAATTAAATGTTCACGAGGACTAACATATAAAGAATAGATATTGATTCTATTAAAGATATCCATTATGACACAAATGCTAGAGATCGGGATTGACAGATAGAATTGCAAATGTATCTATTCACTTATATGTACCAAAAGGTCGTTTAGTGTGTGTGTTGTTGGCACGTGTATGTGAGAGAGAGAGAGAGAGAGAGAGATAAAGAAAGATTGTTTGAATATTCTGTACAATTCAATAATTAATGATTTATCATGATCGTATACGAATATTAAATAAAATGGGCCTAACCCTGGCACAATGCCACTTTAATGGCTTAGAAGCAGAGTTAAAAAGAGTTTCAAGAGCCTTTTTCCAGCAAACGATCTTTTCATTTTTTTTTCGCTGTTATTTTATCCGTGTTGCTTAATTCACGCTGTAAATACATATTGATATAATTCGACAAATTGGACATATCAATATATTGATTATTGGATTTACTGCTGACCTTTTCACAAATGATGTTTGACATTTGTCCCATAATGGTTTCAATAAATATTTTGTCAAATTGGCGTTTGAGCATAATGTGACTATTCCCTCTTTCGGTTCTTCCTCATTTCATCCGTCAAAGACGTGAAGCCTTAAAAATCCGAATCAGTTGTTGGACACAAAGTTTAGCAAGAGGAGTGTGTTTAAAAATGGTTGGAATAAAATTATTGATCGTTTCGGGTTTCAGTTTTTTTCTTTATTCCCCCTTTCAAAGTAAAAAAATGTACGGTTGGACCTCCGCTTACTGATATTCGATGGCTATGAAATAAACGCGTCTATTTGTCTACTGTTTATTGCTTTGAAATTCGCAAGCGCTTAGATAGATCTTATAGACCGTTAGATCGTCCAGTTTTATTGACGGGCATTGATATTTTGTAATATCTACCGCTTGTATACGCCATAATAATTTTCTTAATTTTTTTAAAAATCGATAACCTATGGGATACGTGTAAGATAAAGCACTATATCATCAACCACCCAGGTAAATTTGTTAAGGTCATTTTTTGAATATTGGACCCATCCAATTTGAGAATGTGTTTTAAGACAAAGGCATATTTTTTTCTCATACATGTTTTCTTGTCCATATGGATTATAACTCTTTCTGTCCCATTTCCCAACACAAACAACAGTCCAAAATATTAGCCAGCCTGTTTCAGCCCTTCCAAAGTTTAGGTGCGGGTATTTTGAGGAGAGTGCAGAGTCATTCACACAGCCGTGAACTGTTCACGTATTGGTAATTGGAAATCATTGTCCAGTGCACGCGTACTCAACTCATGCCATCAATATTAGGTGAGTTAATACACTTGCCTGTCCCTGTAAAAGCTAACATTTCATTCAAACCTGTTAGTATTATTTTTTATGATCTTAAATGGATATATGTGGCCACGGGCTAAAGGATTTTTATATTTCTACCGCCCAAAAAGATAGTAACCTGTTTTTGTTATAGCTATCTTTTAAAACAGGAAGGAATAAAGCCAGGGAAATTTTGAAAACTGTGCCATTTAAACCCACTTTACACTGGACAGCGCCCTTTCTGCGACCTTTGTGCAACCATGTTCAACTTGTTTTAATATTTATTCATCGTAGAAAGGAGGCACAAGCATCGCTTTGGTTGCAGAATGAATGATCGACCAGTTGTCGGCACATAAATTATTTTTTTACTTGCAAACGGGGCCGTGGGGCCTACTACTGAACGCAGAAAGCTAGGACGCCTTCCAGTGTAAAGGGGGCTTTAGCCACCATGTGCAATTCATGAGGCGATCACGTGCTATTGTTGTTGTTTTCTTATTGCACGTACCCTCCAATAATTTTTTCCTTTTTTTTGCGAGATTCATGTACTGAATACCATATATATATATATATATATATATATATATATATATATATATATATATATATATATATATATACCTCGAGAAACGGGACAAACTGAAATTCAGCTTTATTATATACTTCTCTAAGGTAGATCGATCTATAACTATTTATTTGTGTATCCGTCTCTGTCTGTCTTTCCATCCGACCGTAAGTCCGTCTGTATGTTTTTTGTATCTATTCATTATTTACTTACTACCCTATTTAATATGTTTTTTCTTCTTTTCATAAATAAAAAAGAAAAATGAATAAAACGAGGTTGACCAGCATCCTCCGATGTTTGACAAAGCAATTGCATGCTGTGTTGATCCATATATACAGCAAATATCTTTTCCTGGGCAAAATGATGATCTCTCTGCTCAGATCCTACCCCCAAACTACCCCCTTTACACAGACATCTTAATAGAAAAAATACTAACAGAGTCCAGATTTTGTTTAAAAATGACTGACGGACTCTCTCTCTCTCTCTCTCTCTCTCTCTCTCTCTCTCTCTCTCTCTCAAAACCCCTCCCATATAAATAATTTATGCTTGTTAGAGGGCAAGGTGTGTTGAAAATCATTAATATTGATGCCGTGAATCAAAAATTGATTTCAATGATCATGCAGCTACGCACTGTCATTGACATGTCGCATGCATTGTTTTGCTGGGACATTATATCGGCAAATAAGCACAGGCATAGGCTGTGGCTCTGTTCTAATTGCCTATCACGTGCACATCTCTCCCAGCTCTCCGGCAGATCAAACCGCTAGCCAGAGCGCCGCGCATGAATCACTTGTTACAAGGAGGTATATGTGTTGATGTCAAAACATACACAACTATAACTATAGCAGGTAAGTCTTTTTTTCATATATTTATATGGTATCTCTTATGAAATTATAGGATGTTTCCCTGTAGAATTTTTCTCTCCTAGTTTTTTCTTTCCTGTTTTTATTTAGATCCTTTTGGTAAGTCCTCCTTAGTGTTCCGTGTGTTATGATGAATGGCAATAATGCTCTGTGAACATGACAGGTCCGTTAGGAGGAGAAATGTTTTTGTGATTATTACGCTCATGTTCTGATGTGTGAAATAAGTACTTACTAATTGAATTTTATTTTCTGTGACCGATGGGTAGCACTATTCTTTTTACCGCCCTTTTAATTTATCAAAGTTATTCATGAACCTCAGTTATGAGATTTTAAAAATTAATACTAAACAGCACAGTTTCAAGCGTGCTCTGGTGTAAAATCATGCAGTATTGATACAGGAATTTGATTACTACTCAGACGCATATGTTTTAAATTTGTACTGTCACACGTATAGCACAACGATTAGGTTTTTTTCATGACTAATAATGCCATTTGAGAAAATAAAATCATATGTTGAAAGCGTTAAGATCCACTAATACGTGGATACGTATTTTTCCGTGCAGGTACAATCGTCAATGCAATCTTCCATGGGCTTACTAGAATTTCGTTTCAATAGAGACTGAGTCAAGGCCTGCATGTATAACATAAAAATGTTAAAGGGATAATAACTCTTCGTTTTGGCCAAAAAATGAATTTTCCTGGAGTAAACAACAATTTTCCCAATCTTACCAATGGTTAATGAATCCATTTTTACAGTCAAAGTTAGTCTCTGGTTTTTTTCTAAAAAGTTTGGTTTTTTGTTAAAATCTCTTAAGAGATTTTAACAGAGTATAGCCATCAATGGAGGTCACGTGGTCGAAAGACAAGCTCAGATATCAGAATAATAGCTATCACTGCAGTTTTTTGTGGTAAAACAGAATATATTATATTTCTATGAGTTATTCACAATGTTTTTATTGTGAAATATAGATCTCATACGAAGAGTTATTATCCCTTTAAGCTTAAAAGTCTTTTTTCTGAAACAAACTGGATTTCGCTGAAGTAATCATTGTGGGAGTGCCATGAAGCTGTTAGAGTTCAGTGAAACTATAACAATATCAGCATCTGACCATCCAAATTGATTTTTCAGAGGAATTCAACACATTCGTTATACGTATCCATTACAGGGTAGTTGGTCCTCAATAGGTTTAAGCAATACCAGATATGCAGTTAAACATATCACATATATACATATTGGCGTTGACGACATCCCTCAATCCGCTAGGTATAAAGTAAATACAAATAGAAATGAATTAATTATTTTGCGTAATGTTTCCCCTAGCCATGTTATCCTGTTTAAGCTCCACTGTTATATAAATACGTACGAGTCCCAGAGCTCGGTGCGAAATATAAGAGATACATTGGCGATATGATGTCGAACTCTTTTATTTCGCTTAAAACTTCGGCGACGAGTGTTTTGTATGACATATACATCTACCATGATTGGAGCTGACGATAATTCCGTGTATTCGTGGGTATCGCGGCTCTATACGAAATACATGTAGGACAGCGCCGCCGGTTGTTTGTGCTTGAACCGTGGTTTACGTAAGAAAGAATCCATTTCTCGTTACAGATAAAACCCTAGCTGGTTGTTCTTTCTAATTTCGTGAAGTTGTATATAGATATGGGATTCGTTCTGAAAAGTCGCACATTACGACGACGGGTCACTGAAGAAAAAGGCTATTATGATGATTTTTATGGATGATGCATTTTTTCTACCTCATTCGCTTATTTTCAAAATATTAAGCATTCGCTTAAGGTTCTTGTAAAGTATTCTAAAATACAATTTACAGAAAGTTTAGCCATATCTATTCTTATTTTTACATGTGGCTTTCCTTTTTGTTCATTTTCAGAATGTCGTCTGCTGGCGTTGCTTTTTTTCTCGCAGCCGCAACAGCCCTTGTTTCCACAACGGACTCTGCTGTTAGTATTGCTGCAGGATTCTTCTACAGACCTAGTGGCTGCAGCGACGGGTTTATGTTACCAGAAACATACAGAACAGCAACGACTCTGGTTCGATCAAGGATCGAATGCCTGACAGTTTGTCAGAGCAGGACTGACTGCGTGTCGCTGGATGTGGAAACGTTAACGAACGGCTCCGTTGCTTGCCACATTAATGCGGAAGAAGCTGGACAATACGCGTTCTACATACAACAGAACGGGACGCAGTTTTTGCACTATGAAAGAGTATGTCGAACTCTCTCTCTCTTTATCTCCCCCTCCTCTCTTTCACTCCACCCGTCCCTTCTCTTTCCGTGTTATATGAGTGGGATGATCGATTTGTCTGTCTGTCTGATTATCAGTCTTAATCTGTATTTCAACGATTTGCACTGTTTACAATCAATTGCTCTAATCTAGTGTCACCAAATCTAGCGTAGTTTTTTCACATTTAACCAAACTGAATTTTCTTTAAATTATTTATAAGAGGAAACCGCGCCTTGTTCAAAATACATAAAAAAATGTAAATTGGCATCAGCCTATCGAATACGTTTGATTATAGGACAAATGCTCAATTGATTGATTTATAAAAAAAAATCTTCCCATTGTTCTTCATTGTCCAGGTGTTCAGTCAATATTACAATCGATGAAGCACACGATAGTACAATTTGTTCAATAAACCAATGGACCTCGAGGTCGCCTCTGTTGTGTGGATACTCAATAAAACAACAACCGGGCCCTTTGTCTAATATTTAATAGATGACTACTTGCAACCATACGGATATGACCAATGTGATATCTCTTTAATAGCTAGTTGGTTATCAATGTAATGTATATGACTAGAAAGCCACTCAGACAACGCAGACCTTTGGAAAGGAAGCTCAGTTCTCATTATTATCAATTATTTTTTAATTCACTAATTGTTTAGCTTATTTCTCATTAATAATTAATTTATCAATCAGCTCATTTTTCATTATTAGTTGATTAATTGTTTAACATATTATTAACTAACAATTAATTAATCATTATCAATATCTAGCCCATTTCTGACCTATCCTGAAAATTTCATCAAAATCCCTCCACAAATTTTGCATTATGTTGCTAACAGACAGACAGACAGACCAAGACAAAGGCTTCTTAAACTAAATCCATAGTTCTATACTACCAAACAAGATAACTTATAACCTCTTTAGACTTTACACTTTGTATTAGAAAAAAGGGGATATAGAGAATTAAACGAACTTCAGACAAAGACATAACTTTTACAGTGAAGTTACTCAAAGTAATTGTGAATTATTTAATGTCTTCGACAATTTGATATATAATATATACACATTATATTATCGTGAATAACATCCCATATTCCACTAGGTATACAAGTAATAAGAGTAAAGGTAAATGAATTTTATGGCGTAATGTTGCACCTAGTTATGAGATAGATATTTTATTCATTGGTTGCTATCTAATTGTAATATGATACTACATGTACATGTAGTGATAATAAGAAAACGCTTTCATTGCTTCAATTTCAGGCCGCCAATGAAGCGGCTGCCACAGCTTGCACACAGCCAGGTAAAGCTATAAGATTTTTGATTGAAAATAAAAAACGAGTTTTAGTAGGGTCGAACGTTTGTTCAATATAATCATTCGAGTCAATGAGACCTCCCATAGCCCTTATTAGTAACTCTTAACTTGTCCTTGGCCTTATTTTGAATGGAAATCACTCGGATATCACGCTCTTAGAACGTCAATTTCAACAATAGGCTCAGCTGATTTTATTGGAGAACCCTATGTTATATTCGATTACCGTTGATTTTTTTCACCTTGAGACAAAAAACGGATCAGTCAAAATATTTACTCAGATACGATTTACGTCAAAAATGCTTCCCACTCCCAACCGAAATCGTTTTTTTTTCAATGCCAAACATCATTTAGAAGAATTCAGACATTACATTGATATGCCCAAGGACAACGAAAGCCAATAAGGGGGGGGGGGGTAATTAAAGAAGTCGGCGCACTTGATACTTGGCTTCTATTTGAAGGTCTTAACGTACCTAAGTGCCAACTTTTTCAAACTTGGTGCAGATCAGAGTTCCAAAATCCATCTTTTCTTTCCCTGACAAATTTCATGCTTAGTGAACTACATACATATGTACGTAGAAATATTTTATAGAATAATACATGAAAATCGACCATTTTTGGTTTCACAGTGCTGTAACGTTCGATATCATTATGATTTATCACTGAGGAAATATTATCTCAACAGCATTATCAACGGTGGTGTTTTGGTATGAATTTACAATAAAGTAGTCTCCAAGTTCGATATTTAACCCAGATACCAGTTGCCATGCACTTTTTTTGCGTCCATTATATTTTGTTATAAAGTGGAGGAAAACATATCGGTATTAGATACATCTGTTGTGTGCATAGTTGTACAAGTTAATGTTTTGATTTGACCTAAAATGTCAATTTTGTAAGGGATACTTCAACAAGAGCAGAGAATTGAAATTGATTTAAATACTGTTGTTCGGGCGTGTTTCAAAATTGTGCGCGCTGAACTAATTTTTTCAGATTTTAGTCGATTTTACTCAAAGTCGATATTTTTGCAATTCCAAAATTCAGCCCATGTTTTACACAATTCTGCTGTCTACAAAATACCAGACTTTAGAGTATGCAGACTGAACACTCTGGGACGTGCACGAGACTATTTTCTTAACCTAACAAATAATCCAACATGTTGCATATCAATATGATAAAAAGTTGTGCATTAATGAACCAACAATTGCAAAGAACGTTTAGAGATAACCATTTGAATAGATACCAAGGTACAATAACAGCGTGTAAGTACACATTGGATGTCCTAAGCATGAACAAACTGTCCAAATATACAACATTTACTCTCAGTATTTCCTGATTTCAGGTTTGTGTCCGCCCGGAACCTACAGCTCGGGGGCCTCTCAGTCCTGCAGCTGGTGCGTAAACGGGGAACGCCAACTGACCTGTACTGAGTGTCCGGCAGGGTCAGCTCAGCCCACGGCCGGAATGACCAGTTGTGACCTTTGTCCTTTAAACACGTACACGGACACAACCGGCCAGACAACGTGCACGAACTGTCCATCCGGAGAGACGACTTCATCGACTGGATCCACGGGATGCGTACCTCGTGAGTACAGCTACTGATTAATTAACCTACTGTATGTTATAAATATGATAAAGTTGGGGAAGAGTCATGATATTAGGAAGATTAATGCTGGCCATATCTAGTTTCCTACATATGTTGGTTAAAAACGTTGACAAATGTTTCGTAACTGAATCCGGGCCATTTGTGCCTCACTATAGAAGGCTCGATCTCTCGCTCGGGCAATTAACCTACTGCATTGTCTCTTTTTAATCCAAATTTAAAAACGGCCGTCAAACACAGCCGTTCATTTATTGGGCTATATTCCGGAAATTAATTATTATTTATAACGCTTTGGACACACAATCAAACGTGAAATGAAATTGGACTCGCTGTCTTCTTTCATGTAGGACCCTGACAGTACAAACAATCCCAGACGTGACGTAATTTAGGCTGTATTGCCGGACAAACAGGGTCTACTTAACATTCTACCCACAATCCCATCTCAAAAAAAAGCAATCTGATAGCCAATAGCTCAGGAAAAGGAAAAGCCAATTGCAAATCCCTTTCTTGTCCAACCAACATCCATTGTAAGCAAGGTGATCGGGCGCTGATAGATCTGCTCTCTTGCGTTAAAATCACATTCACACGGTCTGCTAAAATGATACCTGATACATGGTAGTATGTTTGGGCGACGCAAATTTGCAGTGAATGCAGCCCATATAAGTACTGCATCGCAGATCGGGCATAAGGAAAATGAAACGTCAGATATTTGTATATTTGCTTAATCATTCCGGTCGTTCATGTTATCACTCCAGTTGGACCGACTTCCAGTTTAAATTAAGCCTTGTCTTAACACATCTTTACATGTGTCCTTTCAGCTCTCACGTACCAGTACCGCCTAGTAGGAGGGACGTCCACATCAGGGCGCGTCGAGGTCTATTACAGCAGCCAGTGGGGGACTGTATGCGATGACGGCTGGACCGACACGAACGCGCAGGTGCTGTGCAGAAGCCTAGGTCTACCCCACAGCTCTGCCATACAGCACCAATCGGCGTATTTCGGGCAAGGATCTGGTCAAATATGGATGGATAACGTTGCGTGTACCGGCACTGAGACCGAAATAGGGAATTGCGGCCATAACGGATGGGGCACTCATAACTGTGGCCATGGCGAGGACGCTGGAGTGACCTGTCAGTAATCTGGAACCGTTTTCGCAAAAAGAAAAAATAAGTCTGCAATTGTTGAGCTAAGCTTAGACGGCTGAAATCGGATTGCCGACTTGGCAAAGTGGGATTTGTGAAAGAGGTTTAAGGGACTTGTAGAAATGATTAACCCACTATAAATGATTATTGATTATGATATATTGATACCTCAACGAATTACTGTCTCCAGTCATGGGCCAAATAACCGCCCATGCTCCAGAGATAGTAAAACATTACTAAAGACAATCGCAATATGGTCAAGCAACTTCGTTAAATGACAAAAAAGTAAACTGTTTTGCGGATATTTTTAACGAGACTAATGTTTATCTTAATTATTAAGATTGGCTGGCACGGATTTATTTCAAATTGAAATAGGCCGAATTTTTGTTCTTAAAGTTTAGACCAATACTGTTGTGAAACCGAAGCTGTCACAATTTAACGCTGGTGATCTTTCTGTGTCCTTTGGTCGCTATAAGATATTAAATATTCAACGACATATTATAGCCATTAAATATTTAGTCGACAAGACCAATGGACATTGCACTCGATCTAAAGACTACCATAATTCAAATATTATCAATCACGTCTGGAATGATGGAACATGTGGCAACCATAGTGTCATGTTAGTACCAAGGGGATAATAACCTTTAGCTACGTGACTTGATCTACGGAGGAGGTTACTGATCATGGAACATGCACTTAGTAGACTAAAGTTTTAAAAGATACAATTGGATTGAGAAAAAATTTAGGAACTCAGTAAAGTATGGTCCAGTTGAATAATAATAGACCTATTAAAATACTGGCTAAAAAGATCTACATTGTGAAGTTGTCTATTTTGGCATTGAATGTGATATTATTTGGAGCCTGGTTTGAGCACCAAATAGTTGTAACAAAACTATATTTACACTGGAGAAAAAAATCAATTATTTAATAAAACACTATTTCTCCCAGGGTTAATATTGGTCGATGGGCATTCACACAGAATTTTGGCGCATTCACAACCAAAGTTGATCTGCAGACTAACAGAACAAATACGGCCGACCCACTTGATAGCTTGGCGCATAATACTCGCGGGGAATCTAGTAAGTGTCTGTAAGGGCATTATGCGGCAAGCTTTCAAGTTGGTTGGCCATATTTGATCCACGGATCTGTTAGTCCTTAAGGCCGATATAGCCACACTCTTCACTCTGTTGTGAATCGTATAAGTTATGCGTACACTGTGGAGTTCGTGTTGATCTACTGGCCGCATGGTAGATCAGCTGAATGTTGACATTTCGCTTGGGGTTCGTTTTAGGCAGCAGCAAGTAGAATGTTCTGTAGGCCCTATATCATTGCCATTCCATACGCTCAAAAAAGAGAAGAAACGGTAGTTCTTCTCGTCCTTTGTAGTGTGTCCTGACAGGCTCCGTGCTTTTGGCAGTAAATGAAATGCCAACTTGAAACAATTACTAAAATAAATGTTTAATATATCGATGCATTTTGTATAAACATTAGGTTGAAATATTAAACATGTATTATCAAAGTAATCAAAATAATAATTTATTCACTCTATTGTCTTCTCTACCCCTTTGTTGGAAGGAAAACATGCATGTAAAATGATTCTCGACAGAGGTGGATCAGGGATGCAGGACGTTTAATAAATGATAAATACCTGGTGTTTTATCTTCACCACGGGAAATAAAACTGGTTTAACACAAATATTTTGACGAGTGAATAAAATATTTACGCGACCTTTAATGTTGTACAGTCATTTACAGTGGCATCCATCTTCCGTTTCAGAGTAGACACTTCCAAGGTCATTACAGGTGCTGACTGTTGTCATCAGATATATTTCCCCGTCTTTTTTCCATAAACATATATGCATCGTTTATTATATTTTTGCTATAGATATAACAATCAACTTCAACGCATTCAAATAAATGAAGTTACTTCACCGGAATTTAATCATTTTTCGGACAAATAAACATAAATAAAGAGAAGTTCATATCTTAAGGTCTCTGTTAGTTACCAAAGATGATATCAATACCATTTAGATCTTATTTCATATCTAGGTCTTTTTTTTTTCAATCGTACCATTACACATACCAAATAACAGAAACTTTCCCTGGACAGTTTCATTATTTCCTTCATTTTCCTTACGAACTAGAGGGACAAAGTAGGTCAAGATTACGACCAGAAGAAGAGGGTGCAGATTTAAAGTCTTTTTTTTTTTTTTTTTTTTGCAAAGTGGATTTAATTTGGGTTGTGTAAAAATTGTTGTAGCGCTCTTCCAGGGCATGTACACAGATGTAATCTTGCTTTCCATGCTTCTTTAATATATACAAAAATATTCAGAAACAATCAAAATGCACATACAATGTATACAGTTAGAATTATTTCAGAATATATGAAATCTATTTGAATTCAACGTATATTTTGGCAACTTTTGTATGACATTTCAATAGTACTTGAACGAATAATACGTTTTATTCGTCCAAGAATAGAAGTTTGGTCATACATGTAATTCACACTCTTTCTTGTGACAATGTGTCTCAAGTACAAGTACAGACGAGTTAAAGGAGCGGTGTTAATTCACAGCCAGACAACGCTTCCTCGCTGTCCTTTACTGGATATTGTACTTTCCACTGGTGGTTGTTGAAAATAATCAATATTAGTCAATACCCCATAGCGACGTGGGTTCCTAAACAAATGACATGTATCTAAATTACATCCCATGACGAAAAACAAACGGAAAGCATAACCACACCAATGGAGGGCCCAGAACTTTGATTAGTTGTGTGTGCGAGCGTGTGTGTGTGTGTGTGTGTGTGTGGGGGGGGGGGGAATAATGAAAAATGCCTCCCTTCCCTAGGAAATTATAAAACACTGGACAAGGACAACTGGGATGAAAAATTGCTTGGCTTTGGATTATTTTGCTCATGTAACCTTTTTTTTGTTTGTGTGAGAAGGGGTTACCTCCATGTGGTTGGGTGGGTGGTTGGGGGCGTACCAGCTGTGCCCCTCCCCCTCCCTCTCAAAATTTGCCATTACACAGCACAGCATATATTATCTATTACAAAGACCACCGAGTACAGCAATCTGTCCCAGCTGAGTTAACGTTACAGGTCTGGTAGACAGGCCGACACGATTGGTCAATATTGACAGTTGCCTTACCACTATGTAAAACTAAGGTTGTTGTGAACAGCCTGGTAAACATCCTTTCCATATTTCTCCTCAGAATTGCATACAACAGGTACCAAATGTCAAAAAATAGTTTCTAGTTACTTTACAAGGACAGCCATAATGAAATCGATATCACACTGAAAAAAAAAAAAAGAATTCACACTTGAAGGAAAACACAAGTTGTGCATTTGCAACAAAACATGAGTGGAATTTGGTATGGATAAAGGGAACTGAGGTTTGAAAGCTCTTGGGGAATTTATGTGAAATCATATCCCTATGAAAGTCATAATAAGTCACAATTTGACCATGCAGTGATTAAATATTAACAAAACATACATGGAGGTGGACTTAGATGTGAATAAAGATAAAATTTACTGAATTTCTTCAAGAGCTTTTAAACCTTAGTAAATTTTATCCCTAGAGAAGTCATTATCAGTAGCAATTAGACTACGTATGCGCTGATCAAATATTTAAAAATCCGCTAATCAGCTATGGCATTTAAACTGCAAGTTGCTATACAGCCAATACTCCTGGTGATCTGATTGCAATGAATAAATAAATAGGTAAATAAATAAATATATCATGTACTGGCCCTATGTGACACTCAAAGCACTATCAAAGCAAAAACAAAGAGAAAAGTTCAGACAAAGAGCCACTAGTGAGAGGGTAGGATGTCTATCACCCCATTTCCATAGATTTTTAGATCGATCTATCCCTGTGGGGAGTCTCACTAGATTACTGTCAGCTTGGCCGGCTTAAGTGTCTGTCCCGCCTACTAAAAGCTGTAAGGGGGTAATTAACTATGGTGCCCGCTCGGCTGACTGCAATTTAGCGTGAACCCCCGGGGAGTTAGGTCGATCTAAATCTTAATCTTTGGATCGATCTAAATCTCTGGGAAAGCACCCTATGTGTTAGATGCCAAGTAACATTAATGGATCACCTGCATGTCTGTTTCATTTCAAGTACCATGATTGTATCACCAGATCAAGGATAACACTTTGGGTCAGTCTGCTGTATTCAACAATTTTGTTTTTGCGAAATCCCCCCCTCCCCTCCCTCCCCCCCCCCCCCCCCGAAAAAAAAATCTTTAGTAGGTTTCACACCTATAGGGATGAGACTGCCATTTTGTTAAAATGTAGGGAAATAGCATGGTGCCCAGGGGTCTGCCTAAGCTAATAATATTTTTGGATCCCCAGAAAGTCGAAAATCCACTGACAGTTGGAAAATTGTCATCCCTGCACTTAAGATAGGAGGACCCTTCTTAACCCCTTGTGACATCATGTGTTTCACTTTCTCTAGTTTTATACCATTTTGAGAGATTGACAACTTAATAGCCAGGTTATGACGTAAGAGTCATTTAAAAGGAGGCAGCGATTGACACAGTTAACTGAATTAATTTTGATTGGACCAGGTTCAAATAGTAAGAAGCATGCTTGTTAAAAGGGAGCAAAGCCCCCCATAGCATTATTAAATGTTAGGACCCAACAGAAGTCAGCAGATGGAAATCTTGCTCAGGTCTCAGTAAAATATGCACAACATTAAGAGAACTATTTTCCTCTACATATAGTTTAATAGTAGTAAGTAGCAATAAATAGTTTAATCATAAGTCTTGTGAAGTTATAATGACTTTGTAACAGAAAAAACATTTTTGAGTGTCTAAAAAGATAAGACTTGAAAAGATAAAAGAATTAGAAAAATTTAAGTGTTCAAAAATTTAAAGAAGATGGTGTTAATATAACATAGTGTTGTGACTGGCAATGAGCAAGATGGTAGATAGGCAAACAGAAGAATTGCATTTTCTGCCTACAGTATGATAATGGTACCCTATCTCCAGTTTTTCAATCCAAATTTAATTTCCCAGCACAGTAACCATTGCATGTGGGTTGCTGAACTTGGATTAAACTTTTTATACAATTTTTATTTAAACAATTTAGTCATAAATGAATGGCCAGTAATTTGGACAGCCTTGTACATATCAGTGGAAAATATAGACATCTGGTACTTTTATATGCTTTTTTAAAATTAATTTTAAGGTCAGAATTGGGAAAGACAAATAGTTTTGTAGCTTATGTAGGCACAGAAATTATGTCTCTGAAAAAATGTGGAAAAAAATACACCTTTATGGCTCATCAGACAGCTGACAGACTAAGAAGACTCAACTTATGTTCAGACTGAGATGACTTAAGATTTTAGCATCTGTGGCGTGAAATCCAAGTCAGTTTTCACATTACCCATTCTCTGACATAACAATCAATGTGCAGATGAATATCTGTGCCTAATGGAAACATCAGAGATGAGACCTGCACAACTCTTTTCAAGGCCTATGAATTGCCAGTATTTCCAATTAATAATCCCCCCTTTGATCAACAGGGCACTATGATAATGCTAAGCAATATTCAATTTATTCATGTCCTTACTAAAAATATAATATAATACAGCATTCACTGATAATTACTTTGAATCATTCAAACATGATACATTTAATGAGGAAGTAAGACAAATGAATTCATGCAATTTATCGCTTGAACAAAAACTTTTCAAGTCGGCATAAAGACACTATGGAATACAATGTTATCTTTTCACAATTGATGTTTGTACTGTTTTTTCCCAGATGTGTTTAAAAAAAATCAGAACTAAAAGCTAAAAAAAAGGGTGTTTGTAAGAACACTTGTTTAGCACCATAAGTCACAAATGGATATATATTTTAAATATATGCTATATCACTAAAAATATCTGATGCCTTTGGTTGTGTGCATCAACATACCTTAAACTCTACCTGATACAATTAACTTTATAAGTTCTTCCACTTGAACTCATTTAAGAACTTTCATGTTTCCTCACTTATGTTCCAAAGTAATACTAATAATAGCTAGGGTAAACACTGCATTTTGTATATCTTAATCATTATTGGCAAAAGGTTTTGCTTAAAGTAAAGAATTTACTCTATATGACCCTGACTTAAATTTAAAAAAAAATTACACAAAAGTTGGGAAGAGCAATTTCACTCTCTGGCTGACAGTAAATACTGGGTACGTTTTCTTCTTCATCAGCACGTCTGTGACCACGTGCTTTCCCGTAAGCACATCCCCCCAGTGTGTGCAGGAGATTTTATAGGCAAACACCATGACGTTGGGCTGATCCATTCTCACAGCCACAGACACAGAGACTGGTAACCCCGGCAACTGCATCAGACACTCCTGTTTACTGTTCTTTGCAAATATGATATCTCCACCGGAACAAATAATCCCCAGGGACTTCTCATTCATCCCCGTTAAATCCTTGAAGTTGAGGGGAACGGAAGCGATCCCCACACCAAATAAATAACCGGTGTTTAAATTGCCCATGTGAGTACTGTTCTTGTCTATGGTGACAGTCCAACTGGAGTTGGCAGTCAGTTCCTCAGCCGTGAAGGAAGTTGAGGTGAAGCCCCAGGTTATGAGGTATTTGTTGTGGACCCGAGGGGCCTCACTGCGACCTTGACCCTGTGGTGACCTGGGTGAGGTAGGAGACTTGATGTGGGGAATGATAGTTTTGCACTGGTCTTCATCTTCTTCTGAAAAGGTTTTAGAAAAGTAGAAAAAAATATTATCATGCTACTGAATTTCAAAAGAAATGCAAAAAGACTAACATGATATATAATATCAGAAGCTAAAAAAGTTACAACTGCAAAATAATTTTTATCAATTGTGCAAATAAAAGTGCAAATGAAATAATAATTATCACATATGATGTATTTCAGTCTAATGCCATCATGTTTTACTTGTGCTCCAAATGCAATAAAATTTCCTCAGCATCTACTGTCGTAGACGTAAAAAAACAATAAAATTACATATTTTTAAATATATATTTATAAAAAAAACGTATAACAGATTTTGATAATGCAGTAAAAAATCAATTTATAAATTCTGTCTGCAGCAGAAAGAAATACCACACCATCCCTACCTAGCATCAAGCGTACAGCAGCCATTGCTCGATGGCGAAACTTTCTGGTCCCTGTGTACAGATCAGACACTTGGCTGCTCTTCTTCTTCACACAGTCTTCAAACTGGAGGTTTACCTCCTTGGTCCTAGGGGAGTAGGTTTAAAAATAACTGACAATATCTTGTACAATATCCATCAATATCTTTTTGGGCATGTAACTTTATAATTATATTCTTAAGTAAATTTCATAATTGTTTAGCTGGGGTACAATACTGCTCTGAAAAATGTATCTTGGCACTGAGGAAAAATTTCAAATGCATCAAAGATAATCATTACCTGGACATGACTTTAAAAAACTGAAAATAATTTTTCAAGATTACTCCTACTAAGCAAACTCACTTGTTTGCACACTGTTCCACTTCTTTGTTTAGCTGCTCTACACGACTGGCATTTATCAGCGTTGCATGCACATTCTTCTCTTCAACCAGCTCCTGGCACGACTGCGAAAGCATGTGCATCTGCTTGATATGCTGCTTGCTCTCTGTCATCGTGTGCTGTAATTTGCGAAGACACTGATTCTTTTCCTCTGCGAGACTGTGCAAGATGGCATCTCTCTCTTGGCTTAAAATAATACTGAGGTCTGCCAAAAGACGCTTATATTGGTTTTCTATGTGACTCTCAGACTCCTTGTGGATACTCTGCAGGAGAAATGTGAAATATGAAATCCAACATCCAATCTCAGACAAAAAACACCTTTTAAAAAATTGCGAAATAAATGAACATTCACCAAACTAAAATGATTTCTTACTTAAATAATCTAACAACGTCTTTATCAATATTGTTGGTCTTTATGGTTATATTCAACATACTCAGGTGATGCACACAGACTTTACACTTGAAGGTACATAACAGAAATAAAGGTGTACTATCATGTTTGAAAACATCCCATAGTCATATTTTTTATGTTTAAATATCCTGCATTGTTTGACTACAACAGACTAAAGAATCCATAGGCAAGGATAGGTCAAGCTATAATTCATGTGTGGGATGACATTGCTTTTTTCTGGTGGAAAATTCATTTTGCTGTGAAAATCCAAGATAAGACACCTTTAATTTAGTTTAACTTCATTATATTGTCACTCATAACAGCATTACCTTAATTTCATTGATAAGTTCCTCTAGCTTGGTTTGCTGCTCAGCATGGCTGACAAGTTGCTTCTCAAGTCCTTGGCGTTTCCCACTGACCAATTCCTGTAAATGAAAACCAGACGGGTTTCACGTCTACAAATTATGTATTCTTTTAAGTTCATTTACCCCAATCAACTATGGAATGTTATAATTGTATAGTTGCTATGATAGGGTATGGTGGGCTTGAAATCACTTATTACTGACAATGGAGCTTTCAACTCCAGGTACACTCTTGTAGTGACTGTGTCTGATGTGCCATGGCTGACAATGCTCTAGATTGTGGTAGATGTGACTCAACCATTGTGACTGTCATTTCCCATAGTAATTGTGCCACAGTTTGAGGACAGAATGAGAATAGAATATTGAGACAGGTGTTTTACTGTTTATGCTCTAAGACTCCCTTATTGTATAAGCCAGAGTTGATTAATCATAATTTTCAAGTCTCTTTAGAAACTCACCTAAACTTTAGGCTAAAGTGAATAATGTTATGCTGACAGAAAAACAGGATATTATTGTTAGTATGGACTTCACTTTGATAGCATGCACCTTCTATTAACATCTTTTTTTAGTCACTTTGATAGACTGGTACTCTCTTTTTCAATGTAACATATCAGTGCTCTCCAAATATATGTACCAGTATATATTCACCTTGATTTTGCCCGAGGCTGTCGTTGCATCCAATATCTTGTGCCCCGCATGTTTCCCTACCCCATCACACACACACAGATGACAGACAAGACTTTGGCATTGATCACAGAAAATAGCTGCCGCTTCTGCTTCATGATCCTGACAGAACACTTCCTTGTTGGACGATTCTAGATCTGACGGACGTCGAAGTTTGTGACGAACAAGAGAGCCTCTCTTTGGATGGAATTTGTCCAAACATGGATGGCAGTAAGCCACTGAGCATTGGCCGCAGTACCAGGCAGCTTTACTGGGCGTGTTCCCTTCACATAATTCACACTTCTGCCGATGCTCTACAGGAAAGTCAGCTGGTAAAACATCCTCAGTCTCCTCACTACCACCAGAGGGCTCTGGTGAGGGTAAATCAATACTGGCTTTATTGGCAAGTCTTTTGCTGCACTCTTCAGTGTAGCGTATCACAATGTTTTCTAAGGCAAGGTTTCTTGGCAAGGAGGCAAGTGCTTCCTTAGTTGCGTCAAGTGGCTTTCTGCAGGAGGGACAGTCAATCTCTGAAATGTTGATAGCTAAGAATACATTTCTGAAGGATTTGAAAGAAATCAAGGGACAAAGAAAGCACTATAAAGACACGGGTTCTTTTTCAGTACTTTAAAAAAAATCTGAACACAAGTGAATGTCTTTATTTTTATGATAATCATAATAATAGAAAAATACAGTGAATTTCTTGAAATCCTTAACATTTGTCACTTTGAATGGTGTTCATCTTTTCCTTGAGCCCATGTATGGCTTCTGAGCACATTGTTTACAGTTCTAACATGGGGAACCATTAATAAGGGGGAGAATTGGCCAAGTAAGAGGAATAAATATATAAACTTGTTATCACTTACTCTCTTCATTGTCTGTCTTCTCCTTCTTGCTGTGTATGATGTCCTGTAGACATTGCTTACAGACACTGTGTGAACACGGCAAGATCAGCGGGTCAGCATAGAGCTCCAGACATACTGGACAGGTCAGCTCATCCTCCATACTACTGGTCACCCCTAGGAAAGTGAAAGTGAAAGTAGAGATATCTTGGATTCAAGACGAGTCAATGTATGGATCTGTCTATACTTAACACTGCTAATCAATCCTACAGAATAAAAATCACATTATCAATAAATTCACTGATCTTGTGGTCTATTTTCTATCTTTTCCTCTCACATATTACTCCTTTTGATAAAGAGTAGTTACATCCATGTTTTTACAAAGACAAGAAGACAAATTTGTATTTGGCAAGTAGGGTGCATCTTCTTCCCTGCTGAACAACCCTGGAAATTCAAAAAGTTTAAGTCAGTTGATCTTAATATCATTTCTCAATCTCTTAAAACAAGATATATTCCCCACTTATGTGCCAGCCACTCCGAGTAAATGAAATTACAGGAGTCCATCCAATGACATTCCTCAACCTCGTAAAAAAAAAAAATCAGGCTTCTCCACCTGTCGACTTACTTGACACATCAATGCAATTTCATTTAAATTCATTATAAGTAATAGCAGGAAATCATACCTAATTGGCCAATCACCTCAAATTATCACTAAAATTCATCAAAGGAAATAAAAGGAAAATATACCCAAATGACCAATCTCCACCTAAAAACTTTGCAACCTTGAGATCTCTACAGCAACAGATGTGAGATGAGCCCACAGCTGTTACATGTGTATATTATTGCCAAAACTGCCAAGTAGAGTACAATATAATCCATACAGCTGTTGCTTGCTCAAACTATATATACATTACACAAAATCATAAATAAAATAATCTTCAAATTTTGATCAAGGCCATGTAATTCATCATTTCAAAGTACTCAAATGGAATCTCACAACTCAAAATTGTAGAAGTTTTTTTCTGAGAACTTATGGCTTTTACTCATCACCTTTTTCACTTAGTTCTGCTCCCTGTCTATCTACACATTCTACATATGCTTCCTTACTTTATATTATCAATTTCTCTGCATGGTATACAAACCTTTTTCTCATTTCACACAGCTATGAACACAAGTTTTCCACCCACTTGTCTTTGCAAATTAAACTTCACTGTACCGACTCAAGTTCAGTCTGCCTCTACAGAACCTTATCTCAAATTTCTTATCTGCATTGTATTTTTAATAATGAAGTTTTTTCTTTTTCCCCCAGAGAGAGAAGCATGGCTGTTAGGTCTCTCTCTCTCTCTCTCTCTCTCTCTCTCTCTCTCTCACACACACACACACACACACACACACACACACACACACACACACACACACACACACACTATACAACCTACTACTACTTCCCATCCCTCTTCATCTCAACAAGTACTAGGATAGATTTTTACCCACTCCTTTCCGACTGTCTCAGGAGAAATGGGCAACACTGACTTCAAGATCTGCAAGAAGCTGATATTCACCCCTTTTAAACTATACTGCTCACTTAATCTAAAAGTCCTCCCTTATGACATCCATACTAGTACCTACTCCATGTCATACCCTACAGGTGAAAACATCTATCTCCTCAGGTTATCACAGGACATAGGGGACCTACTACTCCACTTAATGCACACCTTATCTTACCTGTAAAATTTTATATAGGATAATCAAATTATTCTAGTCTCTGACTCACTGTTGTTTTTGATAACAAAAGCAAACCAGCTCTTCCCCTCTGGTCTGGTTAGAAAGTGTGCATTTTTTCACAGCAGTTTCTGTAATTGTGTCCTGATCCGAATTTTACATTCAGAGTGACAAAAAATGAAATAAAATAAAATAAAATAATTCAAAATCAACTTTCATTCTTATTCAAATATTCATGATCCATATCTAACCCTGAATCTTCATATATAGAAGTAATGGTAAGATATTTCTTCACTGAAATACTATCCTCTATACTGCATCCAAACAACTAAAAAATTACAAAAAGTGAAACTACATTTGGATAGAGAGATATATTTAGCTTCCCTTAAATATTACTGTAACAGCAGGCAATTTTTGACAGTAGCAAGTACTATAATATCAGCCAAATGGAATGTACACTACCACTGTCATGAAATCCCTCTACCTCCTTCCATATGCTTGCATACATATATGGTAGTTCATTGAAATTTTCAAATGTTAAATCATTTCCAGTACTGGCACAGTATTTCACACTTTCAATACTTTTTAGTTACTACTACTCTAGTACTCATAAAACTGTTCTTTCCCAAAGAAGCCAAATTCAAGTTGTCAAACATCTGAACCAATCTTTTTGTGTACTACTTATAAAACAAATAGTAGTTTTGGAGAATACTATTACTGGTAGTTTGTTTAGTCTGAATTTAATAAATAACTACAGTACTATTTAACACACCTGTTGTTATCCCTGCCGTTTCCTCACCACACCCTTTACACACACACACACAAGTCCTGCTGTACTAAAGTGTCAGAATGATCAACATGGCTTGATCATTGAGATTAACATAATTGTTCTACTACTAAATGGATGAACCAAGAAAAAATCATTTTACAAATTAATTCACACTGGTCATGCAATTCAAACTGTTTGACATATAAACCATCGACTTCACACAATTGCAGTGACCCTACACTTCAAAGGCATTCAATCTACCATAGTAATCAATATTACATCTCTGCATGCAATGCTATGCTAAGAGTAGCTGTCCATGATGGTTACTGGGTCCAAACTCATAACGGCCTAAGAAAAGAATAATGATGTTTTTTTCTTCCCTTTTAAATTTTTTCTTGTAAATTAAGCAAATTTATTAGTTAATCTGGTGAAAATATTTAGTCATTTGGTTTAACATGCAGGTATTACTGTACACGCTAGTAACTTCAAGATTTTATTCTAGATTTGGAAAGAAAACAGAGAGAGAGAGAGAGAGTGAAAGGGAGCAAGCACCTTACAGGAGGAAAAGGAGTTGCACCCAAATTACTAGCATTACAAAAACTGAGACCGTTTTTCAGATTAAACAAACAAGCACATTCTGTTTCACAGCCAACAAGACTGAGACACTGCATCCAGACATACAAACAGCTACTTCCTTATTGTATTACAACCTGGTTATTCCACATAAAAAAAAGACTTTTGACATGGAAAACATATACATAAAAAACAACAACTGTGACTGATAATCCAGTAAAACCTGCAATTTCACAGAGCCTGCTGTTCATGGTTTCTCTTGTAGCAGCTTGCCAGAAAGATTTACTAGTATCTGCCGGTAATCCTTTGTAGCTTTCTCCCTCATCCTCTCAAATCCATATAGTATACTATGTAGTCCTAGTACATTAACCAGTGTTAATGTATCTCAATGGCTTTACAAGGTCAAGAACTCGCCACCATCGCCTGCTGATTTGCCAGCATTTTTGGCCTAATGGACAATCTTGCACATGAACTTTGCCAAACATCACAGAATCATGGATTTCAAAGTTGTCAATAGCACTAAAAATCACACCATAGGTCAAAACATATTATTAACAACAGAATGTCAAACAGCCCCATACTGTTACAGAACTAGTAACCACATAATCCAGTGACCAGCACATTATAAATAAATGAAACTACGCCTATATCTTACATCTGGGCCATTGTTACTGCCCTTGAAGATGACATAAGCCAGTGAGGGTATGGTAGCTAGCTGGCCATGCGTAGAGTAATTCTATTGAAGTACAGCGAAGCCAAGTCAACCAAGCTGTATTCAGCAAAGCAGAGGGCAGGTCACCATTCAGCTGTTCTGAGTGTGTCTATTATTCCATGTCATTGATATCCGTCTGCATGCCTGGGCAGCCGAGTGCATGCTCTTCTCCGCTCTGAGTTTGTGATTTACCTCACAAGTTCATGAGCATGAATAATGAAGTGCACTTGTATGAATCCTCCTGTCAGTTTCGGTGTCTCTTTTCGATCTTTTTACACGTACCTCAGTCAACCTTGAAAGTTCTCTGTTTGCATTGGTGTTGGTTTGTTTGTTAGTTGTGGGGAAAATACATCTTAAAAATTCAGCTACATACATCTTAATGAAATATTAAAGAAAGACAGTGTTTCAGATGGAAACAAGTGATTCACAACTGAATTCCAACTGAATCTGGCTAGATCTTGTAACATTTTCAAAAGGACCTGCATTGTCTTTTGCCTTGGTGGAGGTCTGCTCTCTTGGAGTGCTTTTTAGTTTCCAATTGCAACTGGGTACAAATCAGTGGAATAATTGACATGGCCCTAAACAGGATCAGGTTATTAGCAAGGGAACATGGAAAAAGAAAAAAAGAATAACATGTGCAGGAGTTTAGATCAACACAATGCACATGGCATTAGTTTAGTCTCGGGAGGCATCAAGTTGCCCTCCAAGAAAACATCGCTCGAGAGCGATATTTTTTCTTTCCTACTACCTCTTTCAAAAATAATCTTTTTTCCTTAACGTCATGTGTGTACTTGTACTAGATAAATATATTGCATTGCCTGACTAATCAAACAAAAAGATGAAAATATCTATTGGAATCTAGATTTGACCTTTTTGCAGCACTAAAGAAATAACAAGCTGAAAAGGTACTAGTAAAAAAAGGACTAGTATACATTCAATGGCTATCATTCTACAAGCCCCCCAACCCCGTTCCTACCAACTGCATCGGCTTAATTTTCAATACAATGCAAGACAGTAAAGGAAGATATTTAGAAGAGTTGTAAAATCTCTAAAACCCAAGCATTCAACATGCATTACCTGCAATAAGTACAGTAGCAATCCAACCTTCCAGGCTCAGCATGAGCTAATGGTATAGTAAGTACAAGTAACAAATGTTATTTCCCTAGAAATAATTTACCCTGGAGGAAAGTAACTTTCCATCACACTGAAAATATTTATTTTTTTCAGGTCTGGGGCGTTTTAAGTAAATGAAGTCAGCGAGTACTACCTTTATAAATGCTGGGAATGTGCCAGAAGACATTTTGTTAAGTCAGTTCTATCCCACAATTGTTCACTAGAATTCAATAATGTTACCAAATTACCAACTTATGAATAGCGGCTTAATATTTTTCATTTTCTCAATCATGAGCAAAAAAAAAAAAAAAAAAAAAAATAAATAAATAAAATAAAAAATTAAAAAAAAAAACAAATAAATAAAAAAATATAAAAAAAGAGAAGTCTTACTTACAAAAAGTCAGCAATGGTTTATAGTATAGACTTCTTTGTCCTTTTCCAGTGTGTGTGTACATATATGTGTGTACGTGTGTGCCCACATGCTTGCCCACGAGTATAAATTATGGTATCCATGAAATAAACATACTATTACCACCCACTCTTGCTTCATGCAATATGTAAAACTGCTTCTCAGAATATACCATGTCTTCAGATACCCACCCCCTCTCAGACTAATCACGTCCTATGTGCGCCTATAAATATCAATAACATATTGGTAATTACTGTAAATCTATTCTTTCTGATACCAAACCTACCTTTCCCTGTCTCCATCAACCACCACTTGCTCCTCTGAGGATAACACTGCTCTAGGTGGAAGTAGCCCTGAATCCAACGGAACTTATACATGATACATCACCCACGCTATTCAATGCCCACTTTTCCAAGTATCAACCACAAGTATCAACAAAAAACCCAGGGCAATTATATTCCTCAGAGACACTGTTTACTGTGTTCAAGCTATTATATTGCCATCCTTGACAAGCCAGATCATCCTAGGGTTTCAAAGTAAACCACAGGCTATGTTGATATGTTAGATGTTGATCTTCCTTGGAGACAATGTAACGGTACTAGTTAGAGTTAACAAATGAGCAACCACTTTACCCTCAAAGGAAGAAGTTTGCCTGTATGTGGCAGATAAGAGAAAGTTGCCACAACTCTTTCCTAATAAGGGGAGGCTGTTAGCCCTTGAGCCTAATATCCTGTTTTAACCACAGTTGTGGTCTGCCCATTTCATACCTAACAAGTGCCCAGGTATAGCAGGTATAGAACTTGCTATGTAATTTTACATATTCCCTTATGTCACGATGCTGCAAGGTATCATTATAATATTATATTTCATGATGATGCCGATGCTCTCATCCTACATCATCCTTGCCATATCATAAGGTATCATAATTAATGTATATATATATTTCATGATGGTGTTGATGCTGTCCTTTTACACAGTCCATACATATTGCAACAAGGCACTACTATATTTCATGATGATGATGGTGATGATCTCTTGTGTTGTACACAAAATAATGGTACTTGTTGTTTATCTTCAGTATTGGCATGTAACAGTAATTAGACCATAATTTACTGTCTAGACTCCTCATGGTGTCTGGTATATATCATCACAGCTTACAGGTATCAGAAGGATTCACTACACCTTGTTCAGTGTCCAATGATCAAGACTTCAGAGTATGCCCATTGTAATAGCTCATTAATGACACTGTGTTCTGTGACGTAATCTCTATCACTCCCAATACAGTGGTTATAGCTGTACACACTATTCCCATATGCTATGTTGGAAGCCAGTGCCAGTACTGTATTGATCAGCTGCCATCAGCAATGGTCCATAGGCTGCATCTTTGCAATACGTCGTAAACATGGATTATTGTTATCATAAAGCACAGGCAGAGTGATCCGCGACTCCACTCGTTTTTTTACTGTGAATCACCAAGACGCAGCTGGTTGTGATGCTGGAATGTGCCACAGACTGAGAATAAAAATATTTCCTAGATTTCCTAGAATATTATTTGAGTACAGCTGTCTCAGTTGATAAGCTATGGTTGCTAATTCTTTGCAGCTTTCATCCAAAAGGGGAAAAAAGGCCTCGATCTTGGCATTGTTGTCCCTAATGCAGACAACCCTGCAGAATGCAGACAATCCTGCAATAATTCAAGTTTTCCTGGATTTGGTCCAATTGATCTAAATCACGATTCTGGGAAAAAATTGGATTTTTCTGCTTCACTACAACAGCCAACATGTGCCATGCTTAGATTTCCTCCCTGATTCAGAACACTCAAGCCAGTTGCACAACACTGTTTTTCAGACACAATCTTGTTTTGCAGGAGCTTTGCAACTCTAATGGCATAATCTAGTCAAGGTGTTTGAGTGTTTTGAGATAAAAACAACCTGTCATGTTCCGAGTTCGACTAGTCAGTGGTTTTTTATCAATAAGCCTACAGATTTACTTATCCACAAAGCCATTAAATCCACTAATTTTCACTGGGATATAAAAGCAATTTCAGTTATCTTTGTGGTTCAAATTGTTGACACTCTCTTCACATAAAATCTGTTGTCATGGTCATGTATGAAGACCAGTGCTTTTACATTTCAATTTTCATCCATTTGTCATTAAACATGAAGATCAGTCTTTCCAGATTTATTTTTTTCTCTCTTTTTCAGTTCGTCATCAGCTAAAAGTTAGCTGATATTTTTTTAACAATAGACTGAAGAACTTCTGATGTGTACCCATTCCCTTCCAATTATCAAGAAATTTCTTCTGACAAACTTCAGAAATCTTCCATGAATTACCGTAACTGCCTCTCTGCCAAGCACTGGTTAATCCCAGTCCTATATTTCCTTTCGTAGCCAGGATGTCATACAGAGGTTGTCAGTCTTAATGGTGTGTCATCAGGTTGAAACTCATCAGTGCTTTGCCATTAAAACATCTATTAACATCCTATCCACTTATAATCTGTTATCTCTGGCAGTGTCTCCAGTCATCTAACATTTAAATAGCAATACTAGATGTTAGAGAGACCTACGTAAGGCGTGACACAAAGTGTACTAGGAACAGACTGGGTTAATTACTTATGCTGAAGCTTTCTTCTTTCAAACTCTTCATTCAAGTTTTGACATTACCTCAGTGATGGATATTACGCTGTTTACAACTGAAATGGCATACGCCTAGATGTCATTGTCATCATTCAGTTCTCTCAGTATCTTGTAAACAGACTCTGAGAACACCAATACATGCTGTAAGACTCATGAGCAGCCAATTCCTAATGACATCATGTCTTTACCTTCTTCTCTGTCTTCTTGGGAGAGGTGATATCCTTTCAGGATTGAACAGATCCATTAAGACTGCATTAACTGTAAGCCAGTTCATCTGGTTTCCTCATGGTTTTGAGGGTACTAGTATCAGACTAAAAATCTTAACCTTTGTCTACATCCACAAACAAATCCATACTTTGATCCCTTATGGATGTAGAGGACAATTTCTATAGCCAGCCTGTAGATAGTCTAATCATAGTCTAATCATGGACAATCTGTGGTTAATTATGCACATACACAGATGTTGACAACAATACTGTGTCAGGCAGAAATATTCCTTTCAGGAGCAACATATGGAAATGGACGTGTATACATACAGCCCATGGTGACAGCATGCCAAGATGACAGATGACGAACAAACAACATAGGTTCTCATGCCTTATGTTAAGCATGAATTTATACAAATCATTAAAAAAAAAAAAACCATTTCCAAAAATGTAGAAAAATGTATTCCTGGACATTTTAATATAATGCTACCACTGTCACCAATCACATAACTAGACGATAAAATGTCTCACCTCAAAGCATGAGAACTCACCTGTTATCCTGCTCTAAGTCATGTATACCAAGTTACCAACAAATAATTTTTCAAACATTAACATTATTTGTATTTCAATACAAAAACATTACTCGGAGGCAGCAGCCAAAATATGCCTCATCGCACAGTATACAAATACTAGTAATGTTTCCCTTTTGCTAAGATAAACATCTGCTGTCTCTTCACTCCTTATAGCTACTGATGTTCCAAATATGATATCAGTTAAATGTCAAAGTGGTGGGACCTAAGTGAAATTCAGGGAGTAGAAATTGCTCTGTATATTGAGCAGACACACTGAATTTCAAACGACACTGGAATGATGACTGTATCTAACATGCAGGGCCCAGTTTCATCAACATGGATAGTGCTATCCTTTAGCTGAAATTGTTATAGTATCCTCTGGGCAACTATCCTGTGGGTAAAGCAATGCTTTCTAAACACTAGATACTTATTTTTGTTTCTGATATTGCTATCCAGTGGTAAAAATGGCTCCTTTCCTCAGGATAACTGTTCAGAAGATAACAATTTTATTCAATGAATAGTGTTACTCAAAGGATAGTATAGGATCAGCTAGTTAAAGGGACACCTTGTCAGTCAGGACAGATGCAAAAAGGAAAGCTGGGAAGCGTGTGTAGGTTGTGTGTGTGAGTGTGTGTGTGTGTGTGTGGGGGGGGGGGGGGGGGGGCGGCCAAAGGGTTTTTTCTTTCTTTTTTATTTTTTTTTTTTTTTTTT